CAGACCCCCGTGCCTGTACCAGCCCCCCCTTTCCCTCCCCCCAGAACCTGAACCAGAACCCGCGGACGCTGCTGCCCAAGTTCTACGGGCTGTACTGCGTGCAGGCGGGCGGCAAGAACATCCGCATCGTGGTGATGAACAACCTGCTGCCGCGCTCCGTGCGCATGCACCTCAAGTACGACCTCAAGGGCTCCACCTACAAGCGCCGCGCCTCGCCCAAGGAGCGCGACAAGGCCTTCCCCACCTTCAAGGACCTGGACTTCATGCAGGACCTGCCCGACGGGCTCTTCCTGGACTCGGACATGTACAACGCCCTGTGCAAGACGCTGCAGAGGGACTGCCTGGTCAGCCTCGCCGGGGTTTGGGGTTTTTTCGGGTGTTTTCGTAGGAAAATTGGGGGTGTTTTGTGGTTTTTTGTTGGTTTTTTGGGGAAATCGGGGGTATGGAAAAAGCATTCTGTGCTTTTTGCTGGTTTTTGGGGGGAATCAGGAGTGTTCTGTGCTTTTTGCCGTTTTATTGGGGGAAATCAGGAGTGTTCTGTGCTTTTTCCTGGTTTTTGGTGGAAAGGCCTCGCCGGGGTTTGGGGTTTTTTCGGGTGTTTTCGTAAATCAGGAGTGTTCTGTGCTTTTTCCTGGTTTTTTGGTAGAAATCAGGTGTGTTCTGTGCTTCTTCCCAGTTTTTTGGTAGAAATCAGGGGTGTTCTGTGTTTCTTCCCGGTTTTTGGTGGAAAGTCAGGAGTGTTCTGTGCTTTTTCCTGGTTTTTTGGTAGAAATCAGGTGTGTTCTGTGCTTCTTCCCAGTTTTTTGGTAGAAATCAGGGGTGTTCTGTGCTGCTTCCTGGTTTTTATGGGAAAATCAGGAGTGTTCTGTGCTTTTTGCTGGTTTTTGGGGGGAATCAGGGGTGTTCTGTGCTTCTTCCCGGTTTTTGGTGGAAAATCAGGAGTGTTCTGTGCTTCTTCCTGGTTTTTTGGTAGAAATCAGGGGTGTTCTGTGCTTTTTGCTGGTTTTTGGGGGAATCAGATGTGTTCTCTGCTTTTTCCTGTTTTTTTGGGGGAAATCAGGGGTGCTCTATGCTTTTTCCTGGTTTTTTTTTGGGAAGTCGGGGCTGTTCTGTGCTTTTCTTCTGGGTTTTTTTTGAAAATCGGGGGTGTTCTGGCCTTTGAGGGTAAAATTGCGGTTTTTCTGTGCATTTTCCTATATTTGGGGGGGAAATCAGGGGTGTTCTGTGTTTTTCATGGGTTTTTGGTGGGAAAACTGGGGGTGTTTTGTGTTTTTTCCTGTTTTTGAGGAAAACTGGTGGTGTTCTGCCTTTTTTCCTGTTTTTTTGGGGGTAGATTTGTGCTGTTCTATGCTTTTTCATGGGTTTTGGGGGAAACCAGGGGTGTTCTGTGCTTTTTCCTGTTTTTTGTGGGGACGTTTGTGCTGCTTGTTCCTGCCTTCCCCGTGTTCCCGGGGTTCTCTACAGAACACGTTTCTGTAAATCCCAGACCCCGCTCCAGCCCCGTTCCCGCCCGTTTCCAGCGGGGTGCCGCTCCCCAGCTCCCGTTTCTTGGCCCGGGCAGGTGCTGCAGAGTTTCAAGATCATGGACTACAGCCTGCTGGTGGCCATCCACAGCCTGGACCAGGCGCAGCGCGAGCGCGCGGCCGCCCTGACCCCGTTCCCTGCTCCCTTTCCCAGGATGGGCGGAATTCCCGCCCGGAATTCCCGGGGGGAGCGGCTGCTGCTCTACATCGGCATCATCGACGTCCTGCAGTCCTACAGGTCAGTCATCAATGACTAATTAACCACCCGTTAATTAACCCACATTTCCTGAGCCTTGGGATCCTCCCGGATCAGGAGTTTCCGCCATGGGCTTCAAACCCTGGGAATTCCATGGGAATTTCTGGGAATTTCTGCTCCATTCCCTCCCCGCAGGTTCGTGAAGAAGCTCGAGCACTCCTGGAAGGCCCTGGTGCACGATGGGGTGAGTGGGAAATGGGAATTTCTGTGCAGAAAGTGGGAATTTCTGTGGAAAAAGTGAGAATTTCTGTGAAAAAAAAATGGGAATTTCTGTGGAAAAAGTGGGAATTTCTGTGGAAAAAGCGGGAATTTTTATGGAAAAATGGGAATTTCTGTGGAAAAAGCGGGAATTTTTATGGAAAAATGGGAATTTCTGTGGAAAAAGCGGGAATTTTTATGGAAAAATGGGAATTTCTGTGGAAAAAGCGGGAATTTTTATGGAAAAATGGGAATTTCTATGGAAAAGGTGGGGATTTTTAATGGAAAAACGGGAATTTTTGTGGAAAAGGTGGGAAATTTTTATGGAAAAAAATGGGAATTTTTATGGAAAAGATGGGGATTTTTATGGAAAAGCAGAATTTTTTGAGGGGAAAATGGCCCTTTCTTATGGAAACCCCCCAGTTTTAAAGTAAAATCCCCAGCTTTTAAGGGAACTCCCTACATCTTAAGTTTTCCCCCTGAATTCCTGCGATTTCTACCCAAATTCCTGGGGATTCATTCCCAAAACCCTGGAATTTCCCCTCGAATTCCTCCCCAAGCCCCTCAGAGCTGCCCCTGCCTGCCCAGAATTCCCAAATCCGGGGTTCATTCCTGTTTTTCAGGACACGGTGTCCGTGCACCGGCCCAGCTTCTACGCCGAGCGCTTCCAACGCTTCATGTGCCACACGGTGTTCCGCAGGATCCCACGTGAGTGCCCAGCTCCCGCTGCAGTTCCACCTTCCCTCTGCAGCTCCCACATCTCGGCCCTGCTCCCCTTTTTCCTGCATTTTTTCCAGCTTTTCTCCATCTCTGTCCCGAAAAAAAGCTGGAAAAGTTATTTTTTAATGGGTTTCCCCCCCTTTTTCGGGTTTTCCTGCTTTTTTAGAGCTTTTTCCTATTTTTTGTTTCAGATTGTTTTTCCTTCTCCTGACTTAAAAATTCCCTGGAAAAATTGGAAAAGCCCTTTTTTTTAAGGGATTTTTCCCCCACTTTTCCAACCTTTTCCTTCTTCTGCTGCTTCTCTTTCCCTAAAAACCTCCCTGAAAAAAACCTCCCTGAAACAAAACCTCCCTGAAACAAAACCTCCCTGAAAACCTGCTTTGTTTCCCCTGGGCCATAAATCCCTGAGTGTTTCTCCCCCTTTCCCTGCCCCAGCCCCCGGGGTCCCGGGAAAAGCCGGTTTTTCACGGAGCTTCCCTTTGGCAGTGAAGCCCTCCCCGTCCAAGAAGAGCCGCGGCGGCGGCGCCGTGCCCAGGAGGAGCTGCCAGGGCGGGATCCCCCTCCCCATCCCCAGCCAGCTCCCGGCCGGGGGCGACGCCCGCGCCGCGCCGGGCCCCGAGCCGGACCCCGAGCAAGGTGGGCACGGGCAGTTCATCCCAAAAATTCCTGGTTTTGTCCCACAGAATCCACGTTTTACCCCAAAAGTCCCAACCCCGTTCCCGGTTTCCTGACCCCAGTCCTGATCCTGTTGCAGGTTTCTGTCCCCACTCCCAGGTTCCTGATCCCGTTCCCATTGCAGGCTCCCGATTCCATTCCCAGGTTCCCATCCCCAGGTTCCTGATCCCGTTCCCAGTTTCCCAATCCCATTCCCAGGTTCCTGACCCCCTTCCCGTTGCAGGCTCCTGATCCCATTTCCAGGTTCCCATTCCCAGTTCCGTGACCCCATTCCCGTTGCAGGTTCCCAATCCCATTCCCAGTTTCTCAAGCCCATTCCCAGTTCCCTGACCCCATTCCCAATCCCATTGCAGGTTCCCATTCCCAGTTCCCTGACCCCGTTCCCAATCCCATTGCAGGTTCCCAATCCCATTCCCAGTTCCCTGACCCCGTTCCCGTTCCCTGACCCCGTTCCCGTTCCCTGACCCCGTTCCCAATCCCATTCCCAGTTTCCCATTCCCAGTTCCCATTCCCACTCCGTTCCCGTTGCAGGCTCCCTATCCCACTCCTGATCCCATTCCCAGTTTCCCAATCCCGTTCCCAGTTCCCTGACCCCATTCCCAGTGTGACCCCGCTCCGTTCCCGTTGCAGGCTCCCAATCCCATTCCCAGTTTCCCAATCCCATTCCCAGTTCCCTGACCCCATTCCCAGTCTGACCCCGCTCCGTTCCCGTTGCAGGCTCCCGGCCGGACCTGCTCCCGCGCTCGGTGCCGGAGGCCGGCGGAGCTGCGGTGGCCCCGTCCCCGTCCCCGTCCCCGTCCCCCTCCAGCCCCTCCCTGGGCAGCGCCGGCGCCTCCCCCCCCAGCAGGTAGGGGGCTGGGATTGGGAAAGGGGGTTTGGGATCAGGGAAAGGGGGTTTGGGATTGGGAAAAGGGGGTTTGGGATCAGGAAAAGGGGGTTTGGGATCAGGGAAAGGGGGCTGGGATTGGGAAAGGGGGTTTGGGATCAGGAAAAGGCAGCTGGGATTGGGAAAAGGGGGTTTGGGGATTTGGAAAAGGGGGTTTGGGATAGGAAAAGGGGGGTGGGATTGGGAAAAGGGGGTTGGGATCAATCCCAAGGGGTTTAGGATCAGGGGAAGGGGTCTGGGACCCTTCCTGAGGTTTTTGGGATCATTCCCGAGGATTCTAGACTTGTTCCCAAAGCACTGGGAGCTCTGCCCTGCTCCAGCCCCTCTTGAGGAGGTTTCCCTGGAATGCCCCTGTGGAAAACGGGGAATTCCCACGGCTGATCCCAAATCCTCCCGGATCCCGTGGCCGATCCCAAACCCCTGTGGCTGATCCCGGATCCCAAACCCCCGTGGTTCATCCCAAACCCCTGTGGCTGATCCCGGATCCCAAACCCCCGTGGTTCATCCCAAACCCCTGTGGCTGATCCTGGATCCCAAACCCCCGTGGTTCATCCCAAACCCCCGTGGCCGATCCCAGACCCCTGTGGCTGATCCCAAATCCCGTGGCCGATCCCATATCCCGTGGCTGATCCCGGATCCCGTGGCCGATCCCAAACCCCTGTGGCTGATCCCGGATCCCAAACCCCCGTGGTTCATCCCAAACCCCCGTGGCCGATCCCAGACCCCTGTGGCTGATCCCAAATCCCGTGGCCGATCCCAAACCCCTGTGGCTGATCCCGGATCCCGTGGCCAATCCCAAACCCCCGTGGCTGATCCCTGATCCCAAATATCCCAAATCCATCCCCATTGCTGATCCCAAATCCTGTGGCCGATCCTGGATCCCATGGCCGATCCCAAACCCCAGTGGCTGATCCCAAATCCCGTGGCTGATCCCAAATCCCTGTGGCTGCTCCCTGATCCCAAATCCCCGTGGCCGATCCCATATCCTGTGGCCGATCCCAAACCCCTGTGGCTGATCCTGGATCCCAAACCCCCGTGGCCGATCCCGGACCCCGTAGCCCCGTGGCCGATCCCGGACCCCGTAGCCCCGTGGCCGATCCCGGACCCCGTAGCCCCGTGGCCGATCCCGGACCCCGTAGCCCCGTGGCCGATCCCGGACCCCGTAGCCCCGTGGCCGATCCCGGACCCCGTAGCCCCGTGGCCGATCCCGGACCCCGTAGCCCCGTGGCCGATCCCGGACCCCGTAGCCCCGTGGCCGATCCCGGACCCCGTAGCCCCGTGGCCGATCCCGGACCCCGTAGCCCCGTGGCCGATCCCGGACCCCGTAGCCCCGTGGCCGATCCCGGACCCCGTAGCCCCGTGGCCGATCCCAAACCCCCGTGGCCGATCCCGGATCCCGTAGCCCCGTGGCCGATCCCGGATCCCAAACCCCCGTGGCCGATCCCGTACCCCGTGCCGACCGCGCTGTTCCGCAGGTCCGTGGGGGTGGAGGTGCACCCGGGCCCCGGCGCGGCTCCCGCGGCCGCCCTGCCCAGGTGAGCCCCTCGGGCTTCGTGGGATCTCCCCGGGGAACCCGGGGCGCGCTGCTCCCCCAAATTCCGGGGCTTTGGGAAATTCCGGGTCTGGGGGTCCCCGCCTCTCCTGCTCTGGGGTTCCCAGGGAACGTTCTCTCCATCCACAAATCCCGTGGAATTCCCGGGAGGAATTAACCTGGAGTGGTCTGTCCATGCACGGGAACTTCACCTGGAATTCCCGGGGATCCGCTTCATCCATGAATTCCATGGAATTTCCATGGAATTTTCTCCCTGTGCATGTTTCCCATGGGAAAACCCAGATTTTCCAATGCTCTTCAGGTGGTTTTCCCAGGATTTCCTGGGGATTCCGTGGGAACAGCAGGGGGTTGGGATTTAGGGCTGGGTTTTGTTGGATTTCCCCCCAAAGTTCCCCCAAATTCCCGTTTTTCCCGTTGTTTTTCCAGCGGATCCCCCGGCCCCTCCCTGGCCCTGGAGCTGGAGGAGCTGCAGGAGACCGAGATCAGCTTTGTGAGTGTTTTCCATGGAAAAAACCTGGGAATTCCCAGGGACTGGGGGGGTTGGATCCCTGAATCTCCCAGGAATGCAGCGGGATCAGCTCTGCCCTTGTTCCCGGGGCTTTGGGCAGCCCAAAATCCCTGGAATTGCCCAAAAAGGAGGGAAACCCTCATTCCAGAGGGTCTGGAGTGTCCCAGATCCCACCCGGAGCATTCCCAGATTTCCCATCCTTAATCCCACCAGGATCTGGGGAAAATTCCTGCCCAAATTCCGGGAATTCTGTTTAAAAATGAGGAAAATTCCTCATTCCCGAGTGTCTGCAATGAGCCTGGAGTGTCCCAAATGCCCCAAAATCCCTGGAATTTGGGAAAAAGGAGGGAAAGCCCTCATTCCAGAGGGTCTGGAGTGTCCCAAATGCCCCAAAATCCCTGGAATTTGGGAAAAAGGAGGGAAAGCCCTCATTCCAGAGGGTCTGGAGTGTCCCAAATCCCACCCGGAGCATTCCCAGATTCCCTCCTTCCCCAGGGCTGGGAATTTCGGGATAAGCCCCAGGCATTCCCAGTTTCCCTCATTCCCAGTTCTTCTCTTCCAGTGAACACCTCGGAATTCCGGCTGGAGCAGCCCCAGGAATGTCCTCGGGATTCCCCCGGAATTCTCCTGGGAAAGCCCGGCAGGAGCGGGATGGAAACCTCGGGAGCAGGGAGCGGGAATTCCCAGGGATCCCCGGATTTTGGGATGGAAACACGGGAGAGAATTCCTGGAAAATTCCCAGCGGGAATCGGAGCCGCGCCGGTTTTTTGGTGGAATTTTTTGGGGGGGAATTTTGGATTTTTATCCCGATTTTTTTTTTTTAATTTCCGTAGGATCCCATCCCGGTTTTCAGCCCTGTGGGAATTGTTGGGATTGTTAATTATTCATTTTTAATTTTTATTCAGAAATCGGGATTTGCTCCGGGTTTTCCACGGGAAATCCCCTGGAAAATTGGGAAAAAAGGAGGAGAAATCATGGAGAAGCTCTGGCTCCTCTTCCCTTTTCCCAGCAGGAATTTTGGGAAGCTTTTCTCACAATCTGGGAGGAATTTTTGGGATTTTTTTTTTGGAATTTTTGGGATTTTTTGGGGGGAATTTTTGGGGGGTTTTGGGGGATTTTTGGAATCTGAGCCCATCCCGGGATTTCCCCCAGATTTTTTAAGGATTTCTCAGCTCAAATCCCACTTTTCCAATCCTCAAATCCCATTTTTTAACACCTCTGACAATCCCACAAAATTCCCTCAGCACATTTTGGGATGGAATTAAAAAACCCCAAACCCAGAACGAAGAATTTCCCACCTGGATCCATCCCAAAAATCCCAAAATTCCCAAACTCCCGGAGCAGCCCCCGGGCTGGGGCTGATTTTTGCTCCATCCTGGATTTTTTTATGGAAAAATCTCCTATTTTTTCCCCAATTCCCGCTTGGAACGATCCCATTTTTTATACAAAACCTGGAATTTTTGTGCTGATCCCCCCGGATGTGGAGCAGGGAGGGAATTCCTCCCCAGGCTCTTCCCTTTCCCAGGTTTTTTTTAGGGAAATCTGATTTTTCCTGCCCCAAACTCCCAGATTTCCCCTTGGAAGGGCCTTGCCCGCAGGGAATTCGGGGACAATTCCCTGGATTTCCCCTTTTCCTTGGAATGTTTGTCTATATTAGACAAAATCCCTCCAGTCCCCTTTTATTCCCATTTTTTATCGGATCAGGAGGGAAAATTTCCCCAATTTTTCCCCATTTTTTCCCAATTTTTCCCCATTTTTTCCAATTTTTCCCAATTTTTCCCACTTTTTTCCAATTTTTCCCCATTTTTTCCCAATTTTCCCAGTTTTTTCCAATTTTTCCCACTTTTTTTCCCAATTTTTTCCCAATTTTCCCAATTTTTTCCAATTTTTCCCGCTTTTTTTTCCCAATTCCCCCTCCAGAATGGAATATTTATGAATATTTAAATATTTTTGGGATAATTCCCCTTTTTCCTGGGAATTCTCCCCATCCAGAGGCTGGGGGGTGGGGGGAAGGGTGGGGTTGGAATTTTTGGGATCGGGTTTTTTTTTGGATTTTCCTGTTCCAAAGGGGGAAATTTGGGAATTGTGGGGGGAATTTTCCAGGAGAAAAAGAGGATTTGGCTCCTCCCAGGATGGGAGTGGAATTCGCGGGATTCTCCTGGACCTGGAATGGAATTCCCTGGACTGGGCAGGAATTCCTGGAATTTTTGTGGACTTGGAATGGACATTTCCCAGATGTGGGATGGAATTTCCCGGATTTGGGACGGAATTTCCTGAATTTGGGATGGAATTTCCTGAACTTGAGATGGAATTTCCCGGATTTGGGATGGAATTTCTCAAATTTGGGACGGAATTTCCTGGATTTGGGACGGAATCCGTGGAATCCTCCTGGACTGGGACAGAATTCCTGGAATTCCCTGGACTTGGGCCGGACTTTTCCTGGGTGTGGGGATGGAATCTGCGGGATCCCCCGGGAGTTTTCCGTGACTTTTCCCGGAATTTTCCCGGATTCGGGGATGGATTTCATGGAATTTTCCCGGAATTTGGGATGGAGTTTTTCCTGGATTGGGAATGGAATTCCTGGAATCGCCGTGTCCAGCCTGGAATTGCTGTCACCGTTGTCCCCAGGCGGGGCCAGCGGGAGGGCCAGCTCTGCCGGGGACCCTGGGGACATCTGGGGACAGCCCTGGGTGGCACTGAGTGGCACTGGGGGACAGGAGACGCCCCGGGCTGGTCTTGGGGCCCTTGGGGACAGTCCCGTCCCAACCTTTGGGGACAGTCCGGGCCCTGTGGGACAGTCCCAGCCCTTGGGGACAGTCCGGGCCCCTTTGGGGACAGTCCCAGCCCTTGGGGACAGTCTGGGACCCTTGGGGACAGTCCCGGCCCCTTTGGGGACAGTCCGGGCCCTTTGGGGACAGTCCGGGCCCTTTGGGGACAGTCTGGGACCCTTGGGGACAGTCCGGGCCCTTTGGGGACAGTCCGGGCCCTTTGGGGACAGCGGTGTCCCTCGGCCACCATCGCGCCCCGCCCCGAACTACAACTCCCAGTATGCTCTGCGCCGCACCACGCCTAGACGGCGCGCGCTGATTGGCCGCAGGGCCCGGGCCAATCGGCGGGCGCGTTGTTGGGCGTTGCGGGGAGCGGGCCGGCGCTGAGGGGAGGAAGGAGCCAAGATGGTTCTGGAGAGCACCATGGTGTGGTGAGAGCGCCGGGCAGCCCCCGGGAACCGCCGGGGAACCTTCGGGGAGCCCTCGGGAACCTCCGGGGAACCCTCGGCGCCCCCCCGGGCAGCCCCCGGGAACCCCCGGGGAAGCCCCGGGAACCTCCGGGGAGCCCTCGGGAACCTCCGGGGAACCCTCGGCGCCCCCCCGGGCAGCCCCCGGCCCGCCCGGCCGCTTCCCCTGAGTCATGGCGGGGGGGGCGGAGCGGGCCGGGCTGAGGGGAGCGGGGACAGGGGGGACAGGAGGGGACATGGAGGGACCGGAGGGACAGGGGGGACAGGGAGGGACAGGGAGGGACAGGAGGGGACATGGAGGGACAGGAGGGGACATGGGGGCACAGGGAGGGACATGGGGGCACAGGGAGGGACAGGGGGGATAGGAGGGGACAAGGTGGGGGACAGGAGGGGACCTGGGGGACGGGGAGGGACAAGGGAGGGACAGGGGCTGAGGGGAGAGAGAGGGACGTGGGGCACAGGAAGAGACAAGGTGGGGACAGGAGGGGACAAGGGGAAGACAAGGAGGGGACAGAAGGGACAGGAGGGGACAGAGGGGGTCAGGACCTGAGGGGGAGACAGGACCTGAGGCCACGGGGGGCTGAGGGCACAGGGAGGGGCTGAGGCAGACACAGGGCACATTCTGTGGGATGAGCTTCAACTGTTCCCGAAAAAACCCCGGATTTTGGGGGATGAACATCAGCCATTCCCAAAAAAAAGGAGGTTTTGGGAAATGGATGTCAGGTATTGCCAAAAAAATCAGGTTTTTGTGGGAAAAACCTCTGCGTTCCCATAAAAATGACATTTTAGACCGGAATAAACCTCATTTTCCCCTAAAATAAAGCAGGTCTTAGAGAGTTAAACCCCAACAGAGGGAATTTCCCAGGATGCCCCTGCAGCATTCCCAGGGTTTTTTTGGGAATTGCAGTGCGAGTAACAGCGACTCCATACAGAATAAATTTGATTTTCCCCAAAAAAATCCAAATTTAGGCACCTAAACCTCATTTTTCCCCCAACAAACCCCAACCACCCCATGAGAGGGAATCTCCCGGGATCCCCCCGAGCCATTCCCGGGTTTTTTTTTGGGAATTGCAGCGTGGACAACAGCGAGTACATGCGCAACGGGGACTTCCTGCCGACGCGGCTGCAGGCGCAGCAGGACGCCGTGAACATCGTGTGCCACTCCAAAACCCGCAGCAACCCCGAGAACAACGTGGGGCTCATCACCCTGGCCAAGTGAGGGCATTCCCGGGAATGGAATCCCCGGGATGGGGGCTGGGAATTCCCGGGATGGGGGCTGGGAATGGTGGGGAGCCCCCTGGGAGTGACTGGGAAGGAGCGCTTGGAAAATGGGATTTTGGGCTCATTGCAGGGGGGAGCTTCAGGAATTCTTGGAATGGCTCGTTCCCGCTCAGAATGGGGAGGGTCTGGGGATTTTGGGATCGAGGGAGGCGGGGAATTGGTGGAAGAGGGGCTGGGAGTTGTTGGGAATATCTGGGAGCTGCTGGTTCCCGCTTGGACGGTGCTGGGAGGGGTTTTGGGAAGTTGGGAAATCAGGGAGGAGCTGGGGAGCTCAGGAATTCTTGGAAAAACAGTTGGGAACGGCTCATTCCCACCTGGAGGGACTTTGGAGAGGGGAGCTTCAGGAATTCCTGGAATGGCTCATTCCCACGTGGGATGGGAGGGATTTTGGAGGCAGGAAAAGTTGGGAATTCGGGGAGGAGGAGCTGGGAATTGCTGGGAACCAGCTGGGAATGGCTCGTTCCAGTTGGAGTCAGGCTGGTCTGGAATGGGAGGGATTTGGGATTTTGGAGGTTGGGAACTTCAGGAATTCCTGGAATCTGAGGGATTTGGGGATTTTGGAGGTGGGGGAATCCGGGAATTGGGGGAATCCCCTCCAGAATGCCAAAGAAGTGCCCAGGAGTCGCTGCTGGGGCCGTGAAGCGCCGGCAGCCCCGCAGCCGAGCCAGGCTGAACCCCAGCGGGAATCTCCTCCCTGGGGGGCTCCAGGGGGGAATCCCCCCCAGATTCCCGGGATTTGCCCCAGAATTCCCGTTTTCCCGCAGTAACTGCGAGGTGCTGACCACGCTGACCCCGGACACCGGGCGCATCCTGTCCAAGCTGCACACGGTGCAGCCCAAGGGCAAAATCACCTTCGGCACCGGCATCCGCGTGGCACACGTGAGTGCCGCCGGCATTCCCGGCACTCCCGGCACCCCAGGGTGCCAGGGCCTGGGGGGGACGCCGGCTCTGCCCCGGCTCCTGGCTGGGGGAAATCGGGGTTCCCCTGGGCGTTTGTGGTGAAAATGGTGGGGCGGGTTTGAAAGCAGAGATCCGTGGAGATTTCAGAGAAATCCACGGAAATCCACCACAAATTCATGGAAATCCATCATAAATGCTTGGAAATTTCACAGAAATCCATGGACGTTTTTCAGTAATCCATAGAAATCCACCATAAATCCATGGAAATTTCACAGAAATCCATGGAAATCCCCCATAAATCCATGGAAATTTCATAGAAATCAGTGGAAATCCACTGTAAATCCATGGAAATTTCACAGAAACCCCCCCCCATTTCACAGAAATCTATGGACGTTTTTCAGTAATCCATAGAAATCCACCATAAATCCATGGAAATTTCACAGAAATCCATGGAAATCCCCCATAAATCCATGGAAATTTCATAGAAATCCGTGGAAATCCACCGTAAATCCACGGAAATTTCACAGAAACCCCCCCCTGAATCCCGAGATTTTCAGCCCAGCCCTGCTGTGCCCCGCTCAAGCCCCATCCCCTGGAGCAGATCCGGGGGCTGGGGGCTCCCCGTTTTCCCGGGAATGGCCCCAGATCCGGGGTTTTGTGCTGGGGGCTCCCCGTTTTCCCGGGAATGGCCCCAAATCCGGGGTTTTGTGCAGCTGGCGCTGAAGCACCGGCAGGGCAAGAACCACAAGATGAGAATCATCGCCTTCGTGGGCAGCCCCGTGCACGACAGCGACAAGGACGTGAGTGCCAGGGCGGGAACGGGGCTGGGATCACTGCGGGATCACTGTGGGATAACAGCGGGATCACTATGGGATCGGCTCCCAGAAAATCCAGGGGTTATCCCCGGATTCCCCAGGACTGGGGGCATCACAAGCGTGGATCCCTGGGATGGATCCCTTGGGTAGATCCCTGGGATGGATCCCTTGGAGCTGGGCAGCTGATTCAGGATCAAATCCAGAATTTCTGGGCACTGGGCCAGATCCCAGATGCTGCTGATCCCAGGGAACTCCTGCTTCTTCCCAGCTGGTGAAGTTGGCCAAGCGCCTGAAGAAGGAGAAGGTCAACGTGGACATCATCAACTTCGGGGAGGAGGTGAGAACCCTGGGAATTCCCACATCCCACAGGGAATTCTGGGGCCTCTCCCGGCTCCGCGTTGGGGCTGGAAAATCCTGATAGGTGTTTTTGGGAATGAGGTCTGTCCTTGGGGGTTTTCCCTGGATCCCAAACCCTCCCCGTGCCCGATTCCCTGCTGGGAACCTGCTGACAGCTGCATTTGGCGTTCCCAGCGCCACAACCCCAGAAAACCCCGGATCCCTCTCCAGCCCCACATTCCCACCCCACGTTCCCAGCCCCACATTCCCAGCCCCCCATTCCCAGCCCCCCATTCCCACCCCACATTCCCAGCCCCTGAGCGCTGCCCCTGCCCTTCCCAGGAGGCCAACACGGAGAAGCTGACGGCGTTCATCACGGCGCTCAACGGCAAGGACGGCAGCGGCTCGCACCTGGTGACGGTGCCGCCGGGGCCCAGCCTGGCCGACGCCCTCATCAGCTCCCCCATCCTGGCGGGCGAGGGCGGCGCCATGCTGGGCCTGGGCGCCTCCGACTTCGAGTTCGGGGTGGATCCCAGCGCTGACCCCGAGCTGGCTCTGGTAGGGATCCCAGAATTCCATGGGATTGGCTGTTTCCAAAATGGAAATCCCATAAAATCTCAAATGTCCCAATTCCAAACCCTATGGGTGAGGGCGGTGCCGTGCTGGGCCTGGGCGCCTCCAGCTTTGAGATTGGGGTGGATCCCAGCGCTGACCCCGAGCTGGCTCTGGTAGGGAACCCAAAATTCCCAGGAATTTTGGCGTTTCCAAAGTTAGAATCCCACAAACCCCAAATCTCCCGACTCCCACGACGCCAACCCCAGGATTCCCAGGAACTGGGCAATTCCCAGCGTCAGAATCCCATGAAACCCCAAACCCTGTGGGTTGCAGGCGCTGCGGGTGTCCATGGAGGAGCAGCGGCAGCGGCAGGAGGAGGAGGCGCGCAGGGCGGCCGCCGCCTCGGCTGCCGAGGCCGGGATCGGCGCGGCCGGCGGCGACGGTGAGGGGCTGGGAGTGGGGTGCGTGGGATTGGGAACGGGATGGGTGGAACGGGATTGATGGGAGGGGAATGGGATGGATAGGATTCGGAATGGGATTGATGGGATTGGGAACGGGATTGCTGGATTGGGATTGATGGGATTGGGAACGGGATGGGTGGAATGGGATTGATGGGATGGGAATGGGATGGATGGAATGGGATTTGTGGGGTGGGAATGGGATTGATGGGATTGTTTATGGGATTGATGGGATTGTTTATGGGATGGATGGAATAGGATTTATGGGAATGGGATTGATGGGACGGGATTTATGGGAATGGGGATTGATGGGATTGGAATTCATGGTATTGGGAATGGGATTTATGGGACTGGAAATGAGATGTATGGGATGAGATTGATGGGACTGGAAATGGCATTGATGGAGTTTATGGGATTGGGAACAGGATTGATGGAGTGAGATTTATGGGATTGGGAACGGGGAGGACTAAGAAGCAGGATGGGTTCAGGCTGGACATGGGGGATTGACCCTTCCCTGGGCGGGTGGGGATGCCGCATGGATCCCGGGACACCCCGTGGATTATTGGGACCCCCCGGGACCCCCCGTGCATCCCGACGCCGCTGCCCTGCCCGCAGAGTCGGACGAGGCGCTGCTCAAGATGACCATCGGGCAGCCGGAGTTCGGCCGCGCGGGGCTGCCGGACCTGAGCTCCATGAGCGAGGAGGAGCAGATCGCCTACGCCATGCAGATGTCCCTGCAGGGCGCCGGTGAGAGCCCGGGAGCCCCGGGAGAACCCCGGGAAACCCCGGGAGAACCCCGGGAGTCGCGGCCCGGCTGCTCCCAGGGCTGCCTCCATGGATCTCTGGCGTGGCTTTTGCAGAGTTTGCCCAGGCCGAGGCGGCCGAGGTGGACAGCGGGGCGGCCATGGACACGTCCGAGCCCGCCAAGGTGGGGCTGCAGGAATTCCTGCCATTCCCGGCATTCCCAGCTCGTCCCATCAGTCCCATCCCGTCAATCTCACCATTCCCACCATTCCCACCATTCCCATCAATCCCATCCCGCCCACAGAACGGGGATGAGATCATCCTCAAGGTTCTTCCAACCCAAACCATTCCAGGATTTTTTTGTCTTGTTTTCTTTGGGATTTCAGGGACGATCCCCAATCCCCTGGGATGATCCCAGATTCCCTGGGTTTTCCTGTGGATCTGGATGATCTGGAATCCCCCGGGCCAATCCTGAATCTCCCGAGCTGATCCTGAATCCCCCGGCCCCATCCCGAATCCCTCAGGCCATCCCCAGTCCCTCGGTCTGATCCCAAATCCCCCGGTCTGATCCCGAATCCCGCTCCCGCAGGAGGAGGACGACTACGACGTGATGCAGGACCCCGAGTTCCTGCAGAGCGTCCTGGAGAACCTGCCCGGCGTGGACCCCAACAACGAGGCCATCCGCAACGCCATGGGCTCGCTGGCCTCGCAGGCGGCGCGCGAGCAGCGCGAGCAGCGCGAGCAGCGGGAGCGCAAGGACGAGGACAGGAAATGAACCCCGGGAACGGCGCGGAGGGACGGAGCCACGCGGGTTCCTACGGGGCTGCGGGAGCGACAAACGGAGTGGCTTGGGAAATAAAGTAATCGCTCGGGAATTGAAATAAATGCTCGGGAGTGGCGGCCATAACTGAAGGGATTTCGTGGGAATGGCGGCAGTTTCAGGGAATTCTGGGAATGATGAAAGGAATTTCTTGTGGATTCTGGGGAGACCCTCGGTCTGATCCCAAATCCCCCGGTCTGATCCCGAATCCCGCTCCCGCAGGAGGAGGACGACTACGACGTGATGCAGGACCCCGAGTTCCTGCAGAGCGTCCTGGAGAACCTGCCCGGCGTGGACCCCAACAACGAGGCCATCCGCAACGCCATGGGCTCGCTGGCCTCGCAGGCGGCGCGCGAGCAGCGCGAGCAGCGCGAGCAGCGGGAGCGCAAGGACGAGGACAGGAAATGAAACCCCGGGAACGGCGCGGAGGGACAGAGCCACGCGGGTCCCGCGGGGGCTGCGGGAGCGACAAACGGAGTGGCTTGGGAAATAAAGTAATTGCTCGGGAATTGAAATAAATGCTCGGGAGTGGCGGCCATAACTGAAGGGATTTCGTGGGAATGGCGGGAGTTTCCTGGGAATTCTGGGAATGATGAAAGGAGTTTCTTGTGGATTCTGGGGAGAAGAAGAGGCAGTCCCTGTGCTGCGTTACTGGGAGCAGGAATTCCCTGAATTTCCCTGAATTCCCCTGAATTCCCTGGAATTCGGGGATTGGGAATTCCCGGCATCCCCCGCGGGATGTTTACCGTGAGGTTGAAGGGCGGGGCTGGGCGGGTGATTGGCACTACGGCCAACCAATCAGGGAGCGGGAGGAACGGATGTTGTCATTCGGGCGGCCAATAATATAGGAAGGAAGGCGGGGTTAAATGTGAGTGGCAGCTCTGCGTACCAATGAGCGGCGAAAATTGGCTTGGCGGGCTTTTGGGCACTCCAGCCAATGGGAGAGCGAGGAAGCAGAGGCGGCCTTGAGTGACAGCGCTACCCACCAATGGCATCGCGCAGCATGCGGACGTGGGCGGGACATTCCCTCAGACGCCGCTGTGAGTGACAGCGCTGGCAGCGAATGGGAGCAGGGGGTTGGAGCCATTCCGGGCGCGGGGCGGGCGCGTTTTGGCGCTGAGGGACGAATCCTGCGCCCAATAGGAGCCCCCGGCCGGGAGCCGCCGCCATGGACGCTCCCTGAGGCCAATGGCGGCCGGAACCCGCGCTTGATAAACAGCGCGCTTTGACCAATGAGAAGAGAGATGAGGCCGTGGTTAATTGATAGACGGAGATTTCATCCAATCGGCAGCGAGATGCGCCAGCCCTGGCAACCAATAGAAAGCCAGGACCTTGCAATAGGCGGGGCTTTGCCAGTTGAATGACATCCTCGCTTCCCAATCAACACTACCCGTGCGGGGCGGGTCCCGCTCAGCCAATGGCGAGTGCGGACGGCCGCGTTCAGCTTTGAGTGACAGCAGAACAAACCAATCAGAACGTGGGTTTTAATGAGTGACGGACCGCACGGCCAATGTGACAGCGCGGCGAGGGCGGGAACGCGCGGCGCGAGCGGCCGGCGGGGCGGGGGGGCCAAGCAGGAAGTGGCGGAGGGGAAGCGGCGCCGCTGAGGGGCCCGAGCGGGACCGGGGTCGGGACCGGCAGCGGGACCGGGATCGGGAACCGGCAGCGGGAATTGGGATCGGGATCGGGAACCGGCCGCGGGGAGCGCCCCCCGCGCTGCTGCAGGTAGCGGGGCCTGAGGGCGGGAGCGGCCTGAGGGGGTCAAGGCCTGGGGGGCGCGGCCTGGGCGGGAGCGCGGCCTGAGGGGCCCGGCCCAGAGCCGGGAGCGGCAGCGGCAGCGTCACCCTTCCCTCGGGGAATCCCGGGAGCCGGGGGGCACGGGCACCCCCGCTCCTGGGATGTGGGAGGGTCGCGGTCACTCCCTGCGGCAGAAAAATCCCGGCACGGGGGGGTCACGGTCACCGCCCGCCATCCCAAAACCGGGATCTGCAGGGGTCATGGTCGCGTGCTCCCGCTAAAAATCCCGGGATTTGTGGGGTTCAGGATCATCCCCCCATCCTGAAATGCTGGGGGGTCACTCAGCCCTTCCCCATCCCAAATCCGGGACTGGGAGCGGTCACAGGCAATCCCTCCGCCCTGGAATCCCGGGGAGCTCGGGATCGGTGTGGGGAGTTTGGGATGGGGAGATTGGGATTGGGATGGGGAGTTTGGGATGGGCAGTTTGGGATGGGGATGGGGAGATTGGGATTGGGATGGGGAGTTTGGGATGGGCAGTTTGGGATGGGGATGGGGAGATTGGGATCGGTGTGGGGAGATTGGGATGGGGAGATTGGGATGGGGACGGGGAGATTGGAATGGGGAGTTTGGGATGGGGATTGGAAGTTTGGGATGGGGAGATTGGGATGGGGATGGGGAGTTTGGGATGGGGAGATTTGGATCGGGATGGGGAGTTTGGGATCCTGGATATTTGGGAATACCCCACAATCCCACGGAATCCCTGCCCAGATCCCCCCAGCCCTTGTGGGAATCCTGGGAAAATCGGGAATGCCGAGCCCTGCCGGCTCCCGCCGGGGCTGGGGCCGTTCCCGTTCCCTTTGGGATTTTCGGGATCCCGGGATCGGGGCCGGGCTGCGGCGCCGGCAGATGGCCGGGAATTAATCCCCACCAAATCCCGGGAATTTAATCCCACACGGATCCCTCGGGATGAGGCAGCTGCGCCGGGATGGGGGGGCTGGGACTGGGGATCCAGGGTCGGGATGGGGATTTGGGGTCGGAGTTCGGGAAGCGGGATTTGCCCCGGTGGAATTTCGGGACAATCCCTCCCCGCTCGCGGCTGTCCCGCTTTCCCGCCTCCCTCTCCGTACAAACTGAGCCGGGAAGGATTTTCCAAACCCCGCTCCTGATCCCAGGCAGCTCCTCCAGGCTTTTCCAGGCGCGTTTGCTCCCAGAAAAACTCTGGGATTGGGATCGGGGAGGGAGGAATTGGGGTGGGGAAATCCGGGATCAGTCCCGGCCATTCCCAAGGATTTGGGTGTAAATGGGAGCCCGCGGCGCCGAGGCCGCGGCCAACGGCGACTGCTGGGCCAAGGAGAAGAGCGCCAAGGCCCTGGAGCTGTTCGCCCACTTCAGCCCCGAGCCCGGCGAGGACGGCGCCAACCTCATCGACAGAGCGCGGGAGTGCAAAGCCAAGGAGAAGCCCCTGGCCGTGCCCGCGCTGGCCGCGTCCCCCGGCCCGTCCCTGGAGTGCAAGGAGCCGCTGGCCGGGGCCGCCGAGGGCCTGGACGCCGCGTTCCCCGCGCCCTTCCGGGCCGCGGCGCCCGGCGACGCCTCCCACCCCGTCGCCTGCATCAAGAAGGAGGAGTCGGACCCCGAGGAGGCTGCGGCGCGGGGCTGCAGCCCCAAGGGGCTGGTGCTGGACCACCTCAAGTCCGTCACCGTGCGCTACTCGGCCGGCGACTCTGCCGCGGCGGCGTGGCCGGCAGCGGAGCCGGCGGCGCTGGACGGCGGCACCGGCGCCGCGGCCGAGCTCAAACGCTCGCCCGGCAGCCCTCGGGAGCCCTTCTCCTCCCCGGGAATTGCCATCCCGCCCTCCCCCAAGCAGCTCTCCTTGAAGGAGGAGCGGGAAATGCTGGGGAAATCCGTGGGGAGCCCTCCCAGCGTTTCCAGCGGCGAGGAGGAGGAGGAGGAGGAGGGAAGCACCAACTCGCCGTCCTCCAGCTCCTCGCGGCCGCTCAAGGTGCGCATCAAAACCATCAAAACCTCCTGTGGCAGCATCACCAGGACGGTCACCAGGGTGTCCTCGGACTCGGAGCCGCCCTCCACCAAAATCCCCAGCGAGCAGAATTCCCAGGAGCCCTTGGAATGTCCCGCCGGCATCGCCACGGAGGCGGCGGCCAAGGAGAAGTCGGAGCTCTCCAGCCCCCTGAAAAACACGGAGGGGCCGAAAATCGTCAGCGTCCAGCTGGGCAACGGCACCAAGCTGAAGGGCACGGTGCTGCCCGTGGCCACCATCCAGAGCGCCAGCAGCGCCATGCTCATCGCCGCCAGCGTGGCCCAGCAGAAATCCGTGGTCCTGCCGGGAAAATCCGGGAAATCCGTGGCCAAGAACATCCTGAACCTGGTGCCGCAGCCGCTGCCCAAGGGCGACGGCAGGAGCGGCGGCGGCGCCAAGGCCAACGGCGGCGCGGCGCTGCCCAAGGCGGCGCCCAGCGTGGCCGGCACCGTCATCTCCCGCAGCCAGTCCAGCCTGGTGGAGGCCTTCAACAAGATCCTCAACAGCAAGAACCTGCTGCCCACCTACAAACCCAACCTGAGCCCCCCGGCCGAGTCCAGCCTGGCGCTGCCGCCCTCGGGCTACCGCTGCCTGGAGTGCGGCGACGCCTTCGCGCTGGAGAAGAGCCTGGCGCGGCACTACGACCGGCGCAGCATGCGCATCGAGGTCACCTGCAACCACTGCACCAAGCGCCTGGTGTTCTTCAACAAGTGCAGCCTGCTGCTGCACGCCCGCGAGCACAAGGACAAGGGGCTGGTGATGCAGTGCTCGCACCTGGTGATGCGGCCCATCGCGCTGGAGCAGATGATCGGCCAGCCCGACATCACCCCGCTGGTGTCGCTGGCCCTGCCCGCCGGGAAGGTGGCCCAGGAGGGCGGGGCCGCGGCGCAGGAGCTGCCCGTGCTGCCCCTGGGCTCGGAGCAGAGCAGCTACAGCTGCTTCAGGTGCCTGGAGTGCAAGGAGCAGTGCAAGGACAAGGCCGGGCTGGCAGCGCACTTCCAGCAGGCCGGGGTGGCCACCAGCAGCAGCAGCACGGTGAGAGGGGGAGGCTGGGAGAGCTGGGCTGGGCGTGGGAGGGCAGTGGGAGCCCCCCCGGAAAACAATTCCCAGCTTTTCCAAAGGATCCGTTCCCTGCCTGGGGAGGCTTTCCATGGGATAAAAGGGCAGGAAAAAGGGGATTTGGGAAGGAAAAGGCCTCTCCGGGGGCACATTCCAGAGGGGAAATGAATGGAATCCCACCTGCTTGGGGCTTCCAGAAGCCTCACACCCAGAGGGAATTTGGGGTGGAATTGGGGTTGGATCCACGGCTCTTTCCCCTTTTTCCCACTTTTCCCAGCTGGAAAACCGTGGGATCAAAACCCCTCCTCATGAAAGGAATTTTTTCCCTAAAGAAACCAAAAATCCTCGGAGCTTCCAGGCCTGCTGGAGGTGCCGGAATTCCAGGGTTTTACAGGGAATTGTCCCCGGGATGTGACAGATCCTGGGCCTGGCTCCAGGTTGGGAACAGGCCTGGGATGGGGCCGGAATTCCCGGGATGGGCTCTGATCCCGAGGCTTTCCCAGCAGTTCCAGGGATTTAGGGGATGGATCAGCTCCAGGGTTGGGGTGGGAAGGGGATTTTTGGGATGGTGAGGGGATTTTTGGGATAAAAGGGAGATTTTTGGGATAAAAGGGGGGATTTCTGGGACGGAGGGGAGGTGTTTGGGGTGGAAGTGGAGCGGGGATGGAAAAGGCTGCGGAACATCAGCATTCCCTGGGGTTTATCGGGAGGGACACCCAGAAATCCCCACTTGCAAACCCCAAATTCCCTCAGCCCTCAGCCCTCAACCCTTTCCCCCCCTTCCCAGCCATGGGGGACATGAAAACCCCGGACTTCGACGACCTCTTGGCCGCCTTCGACATCCCCGACATCGACGCCAACGAGGCCATCCACTCGCACCACGAGGAGCCCGAGCCGCACGGCAAGGCGCTGCCGGGGGAGCCGGGCGCGGCGGCGGCGGCCGAGCACGCCCTGCCGCACGCCGACATCTCGGCCGTCAGCGTCATCGTCAAGAACACCGTGTGCCCCGAGCAGCCCGACGGCAAGGACGGGCACGGGCTGGCGCCGCGGCTGCTGCAGAACGGCTTCGTCAGAGGGGTGGGAGGTGGTTCAGAGGGGTGGGAGGTGGTTCAGAGTGGTGCCAGGGCAGTGGGAGGTGGCAGGAGGTGGTGGGGAATGCCGGGAAGGTGGTGGAGAAGTGGGAGGGCGGTGGGAGATGGTGGGAGAACGGTGAGAACATCCAGCCTTGGATCCATGGGTCCATTCATCCCATCAATCCTGATCCCTGCTGGAGTTTCCCAGAACTCTTTGGGATCCTGGTTTCAGCTGGAATTTTCCCAGAACTGTTTGGGATCCCGATCCCAGCTGGGAATTTTCCAAGATCCCAGAACCATTTCAGCCCCATTCCTTGACGGAATCCTCCCGGAGCTGTTTGCCCTCCCGGCCTGAGTCAGGATTGTCCCCGGGCTGTCGGGGTGCCGGCCCCAGCGGCGTCCCCGGCGCTCCGTGGCTGCTGCCAGCCCTGGCAGGGTTCCGTGGCTGCTGCCAGCCCTGGCAGGGTTCCGTGGCTGATGCCAGCCCTGGCAGGGTTCCGTGGCTGCTGCCAGCCCTGGCAGGGTTCCGTGGCTGCTGCCAGCCCCCCCGGGCCCCGTGGCTGACGCCGGCTGTTGCAGGTGTGCTCGGCGTGCCCCATGATCCTGGCCAACCGCTGCAGCTTCAGCGCGCACCAGCGCATGCACCGCAGCCGCCCGCCCCACGTCTGCCCCGAGTGCGGCGGCAACTTCCTGCTGGCCAACTTCGAGTCCCACCTCAAGGACTCCTGCCTGCACTTCTCCCGCAGGGTGGGCTACAGGTACAGCCGGGGAATCCCGGGAATTCCGGGCTGGGGGGCATTGGGAAGCTCCCAAAATGGAGTTTGCCTGTGGAGTGTGGCGGGAATTTCCTGCGGGCCAACTTGGAGTCCCACCTCAAGGACTGCTCCCACAGGGTGGGAGACGGACCAGGAGCCAGGGAATCCTCATTTGGGATCCTGGTTCCAGGTGGAATTTTCCCAAAGCTGGTTTGGATACCAGTCTCCATGGGGAATTTTCCTAGAAGTGCTTTGGATCACAGTCTCCATTGGGAATTCCCAGATCTTGTTTGGGATCCCGGTCTCCACTGGGAATTCCCAGATCTGGTTTGGGATCCCGCTCTCCGTGGAATTTTCCAGGTGTCCCAGCTGCTCCGTGGTGTTCGGCGGCGTCAATTCCATCAAGTCCCACATCCAGAGCTCCCACTGCGAGGTTTTCCACAAGTGTCCCATCTGCCCCATGGCCTTCAAGTCCGCGCCCAGCGCCCACGCCCACGTGTACACGCAGCACCCCGGCTTCAGCAACCAGCAGTCCAAGTGAGTGCTCCCGAGGGTCCCCAACCCCAGCTCCTCCCCGTGCCAGCATCCCGGGAGCGGCCTCGGGCTCAGCCTGGAAAAGGGTTGGGGTGGGAGGTTGGGGAATGAGAGGTTGGGGTGGGAGGTTGGGGAATGAGAGGTTGGGGTGGGAGGTTTGGGAGTGGAGTCGGTGGTGGAGTTGGCTGGAAAATTTGGGCATGTGGCCCTTGGGAATGATGGATGTGGTGGTCCCAGAGGGCTTTTCCTGCCTGAGCAATTCCAGGATTCCAGGATTGGGAGGACTGGGAATATATTCCATGATTGGGCCTTCTCCATGGGTGGGATGAGCTCAGCTCCCTCCTTCCTTTTCCCATCCCTTTTCCCCTATTTTTCCCTCCTTTTTCCCTTCCCTTTTCTCTGTTATCTGGTTTGGGATCCCGCTATCCGTGGAATTTTCCATGGGTCCCAGCTGCTCAGTGGTGTTCGTCGGCGTCAATTCCATCAAGTCCCACATCCAGAGCTCCCACTGCGAGGTTTTCCACAAGTGTCCCATCTGCCCCATGGCCTTCAAGTCCGCGCCCAGCGCCCACGCCCACGTGTACACGCAGCACCCCGGCTTCAGCAACCAGCAGTCCAAGTGAGTGCTCCCGAGGGTCCCCAACCCCAGCTCCTCCCCGTGCCAGCATCCCGGGAGCGGCCTCGGGCTCAGCCTGGAAAAGGGTTGGGGTGGGAGGTTGGGGAATGGAGTCGGTGGTGGAATTGGCTGGAAAATTTGGGCATGTGGCCCTTGGGAATGATGGATGTGGTGATCCCAGAGGGCTTTTCCTGCCTGAGCAATTCTAGGACTCCAGGATTGGGAGGACTGGGAATATATTCCATGATTGGGCCTTCTCCATGGGTGGGATGAGCTCAGCTCCCTCCTTCCTTTTCCCATCCCTTTTCCCCTATTTCTCCCTCCTTTTTCCCTTCCCTTTTCTCTGTTTTTCCCCTCCTTTCCCATTTCCTTTCTCCTCCCTTTTTCCTTCCCTTTTCCTCCTTTATCCTTCCCTTTTTCTCTCATTCCCTCCTTTTCCTCTCCCTTTTCCCTTCCTTTATTTCTTTATTTTCCCTCCTTTTCCCTTTTTCCTTTCCATTTCCCCTCCTTTTCCCTTCCCTCATTTCTCTCTTTTCCCTCCTTTTCCCTTTTTCCTTTCCATTTCCCCTCCTTTCCCCTTCCCTTATTCCTCTCTTTCCCCTCCTTTCCCCTTCCCCCTCCCTCTGGCGCCTCCCCCATCCCGTTTTTGCCCGTTTTTGCCCCAGGATGATTTACAAGTGTGCCATGTGTGACACGGTGTTCACGCACAAGCCGCTGCTGTCGTCGCATTTCGACCAGCACCTGCTGCCGCAGCGCGTCAGCGTCTTCCGCTGCCCGCAGTGCCCGCTGCTCTTCGCCCAGAAACGCACCATGCTCGAGCACCTCAAGGTCAGGCCCCGGCCCAGCTGGAATTCTGGGTGGGAATGGTGAAATTCCGGCCAAAAATGGCAAAATTCCGGCCAGAAATGGCAAAATTCCGGCCGGAAATGGTGAAATTCTGGACGGAAGCGATGGAAATGTCCCCCAAACTGGGAAGATGGGAGTGGGGAGTGCTCGGGGTCTAGAAATGCACCAAACTCGAGCACCTCAAGGTCAGGCCCCGGCCCAGGCGGAATTCTGGGTGGGAATGGTGAAATTCCAGCCAGAAACAGCAAAATTCCGGCCAGAAATGGTGACATTCTGGACGGAAACGATGGAAATGTCCCCCAAACTGGGAAGATGGGAGTGGGGAGTGCTCGGGGTCTAGAAATGCACCAAACTCGAGCACCTCAAGGTCAGGCCCCAGCCCAGGTGGAATTCCGGGTGGGAATGCTGAAATTCCAGCCAAAAATGGCAAAATTCCAGCAGGAAATGATGGAAATTTCCCCTAAACTGGGGGAAGTGGGAATGGGGTCCAGAAGCGCAGCACGCTCGAGCACCTGAAGGTCAGACAGAATTCCAGACAGAATTCCAGCTGGGAATGGAGGAATTCCAGCAGAAAAAGGCACAATTCCATCCCCGCTTGGGTGGGGAATGGGGGGCAGTGGGAGCCGTGTCTGGGTGGGGTTTAAGGGTGTTTCCCACCCCAAACCATCCCAGGATTCCATCCTGGTTTCTTTGGATCTCCGGGATAAATCCTGGATCCTGCCCGGGCAGGATTCCCCCTCACCGGGCACATCCCGCCCTCCCTTTCCCAGAACACCCACCAGCCCCAGAGGTGCAAGGACGACTCCTCCCGCAGCTCGGCGGCTCCGCTGGCGCCCAAGGCGGAGCCGCTGGAGGCGCCGGCGCCGCGCAACTCCTCGGAGTCCTCGAGCTCGTCGGAGGAGGACGAGGCGCCGAGCTCGCCCGAGCTGCGGCGCGCCCGGCGCGGCCGCTTCGCCCGCAAGGGCGGCAGCAAGGCCAAGGGCGGCGGCTGGAGCTGCGGCGCCTGCCGCTCCTGGTTCCCCGAGCGCGACGAGTACGTGGCGCACATGAAGAGGGAGCACGGCAAGGTCAGCCCGGGAGTGCCGGGAGTGCCCCGCGGGGCTCTGGGTGGGGTGGGAGTTCCTCCAGCTGGAGTGGGAATCCTGGCTCCTGCCCCCTGGGAATGGGACGGTTTGGGAATGGGGATTGTTTTTGGGATACTTCCTGACTGGATGAATGATGCCAGGTGGGAGCTGGGGGAAAATTCAGGTGGAGTGGGAATCCTTTTGGATCCCCCTGGATTTTTCCTGGGTTTCTCCAGGTTCCCTCCTGGGTTTTACTCAGATTTCCCTGGGATCCTGAGCTGGGTTTTTCCCGGTTTTCCCTGGGATCCCTCCCGTTTTTCCCCAGTTTTCCTTGGGATGCTGAGCTGGGTTTTATCCTGGTTTTCCCTGGGATCCCTCCTGGGTTTTTCCCAGTTTTCCCCGGGATCCCTCCTGGGTTTTTTTCCCCGGGATGCTGAGCGGTTTTCCCCGCAGTCCGTGAAGAAGTTCCCGTGCCACCTGTGCGAGCGCTCCTTCTGCTCGGCGCCGAGCCTGCGCCGCCACGTCCGCGTCAACCACGAGGGCATCAAACGCGTCTACCCCTGCCGGTACCGCGGGGATGTCCTGGGAGGGGATCCCTGGGGCTGGGAATGGGGGCTGGGGGGCTGGGAATGCCCTGGGAGGGGATCCGGGGGCTGGGAATGGGGGCTGGGAATGCCCTGGGAGGGGATCGGGGGGCTGGGAATGGGGAGGGAGCGGGGAGGACTGACGGGGATTGGGGCTGGAGAGGGAAGAGGGGGAGTTCTCACGGAATCGGGGTTTAATTCCCAGGAAAATCGGGGTTTAATTCCCAGGGAAATTAGGGCTTAATTCTCAGGGAAATCAGGTTTTAATTTACAGGAAAATCAGGGTTTAATTTTCAGGGAATCAGGGTTCAATTCCCAGAGAATCAGGGTTCAATTCCCAGGGAATCAGGATTCAATTCCCAGGAAAATCAGGTTTTAATTCCCAGGAAAATCAGGGTTTAATTCCCAGGGAAGTCAGGGTTTAATTCCCAGGAAATCAGGGTTTAATTCCCAGGGAATCAGGGTTCAGTTCCCAGGGAATCAGGGTTTAATTCCCAGGGAAATCAGGGTTTAATTCCCAGGGAATCAGGGTTCAGTTCCCAGGGAATCAGGGTTTAATTCCCAGGGAATCAGGGCTCAATTCCCACCTGCTCTGCCCAAGGTGGGAATTGAAATTCCAGGGATGAGAAGGCTTTGGGAAAGGACTCCAGGCTTTGCAGCAATCCCGTTTGGGGTTGGAATTCGGGAATTGCAGCGGCAGAATTCCCAGGAAAACCAGGCTGCCGCGTTGGCAGGTACTGCACGGAGGGGAAGAGGACGTTCAGCAGCCGGCTGATCCTGGAGAAGCACATCCAGGTGCGGCACGGCATCAAGGTGACGGACCCCGCCCGCAGCCAGGAGGTCGTCATCGCCCGCGGCCCCTCGGGCCCCGCCCAGGTGGGGCCATCCCGGCATTCCGGCAATTCCTGGGAATTCCGGGGCTTTGGGGTGGGACTGGGGGGGGTTTTATCCTAGAATTCCTGCTGGGAACCCACGAATCCCAGCCCTAAACTTCATCCAGGTGGGGAGGTTTCGGGTCAGCGACTGCCCAGGTGGGATTATCTGGGAATTCCTGGGGTTTCCTGGGAATTTCTGGGAATTTCGTGGGAGTTCCAGCGTTTGTGGCAGGATCAGAGGCTCCTCACCCCAGAACTCCTTCCGGGAGCTGCCCCAGTTCCCAAGGGATTTCCCAGGAGCTCCTTGCTGGGAATCCCACCCCGGACCTGGCTGGGAACTCCCGGATTTTCCCGCTTTTCCAGGCGCCGGGCCGCAAGCGGAAGCTCTCCTCGGACGAGTCGTGCAGCGAGGAGCCCGACAGCACCACCCCCCCTGCCCAGACCCCCAAACCCTGCGGGGCCAAGGCCCCGTTCCGCTGCAGGAAGTGCGGGTTCCTGGCCGGGAGCCGCGCCGAGTTCCAGGCGCACATCCCGCAGCACCGCACGGACGGGAACTGCCAGCAGTGCCGCGAGTGCGGCCTCTGCTTCACCTCGCAGAGCTCCCTCAGCCGCCACCGCTTCATCTCCCACAAGAAGAAGAAGGGGGCCGAGCCTGAGGACGCCGCGGGAGGCGCTTCCCAAGGGAGCGGCGAGGCCGGCACCGGGAATTCCGGCGGCGCCGAGGGGCGGCTGGAGTGCAAAGTGTGCGGGAGGGGATTCGAGAGCCAGCTCAACCTCAAGACGCATTTCCGGACCCACGGAATGGCCTTCATCCGAGCCCGGCAGGGGGCCGAGGAGAACTGAGCATTCCCGGGATTCTGGGATTTCTGGGATTGAGTTCATCCGAGCCCGGCAGGGGGCCGAGGAGAACTGAGCATTCCCGGGATCCTGGAATCCTGGGATTGAGTTCATCCGCGCCCGGCAGGGGGCCGAGGAGAACTGAGCATTCCCGGGATTCTGGAATCCTGGGATTGAGTTCTTCCAAGCCCGAGGAGAACTGAGCATTCCCAGGATTCCATGGGATCAGCTCCGAGCCTGGGAATCTCAGCATTCCCAAATTCTGGGATCAGCCCCCAGGACAACTGAGCATTCCTGGCAATCTCAGCATTCCCGGAATTCCGGGATCAGCTCCAAGGCCGGGAATTGGCGCCGTGTACATAAAACTCCCCCAGAGCCCTTCCCGGTGTCCGAGGGAAAGTTGGGAATGGGATTGGGATTGGGATGATCCCAAATCCCGCCAGGAATCCCCTGGGAATGTTGGATTGGGGGTTTCCAGGACCCCTCCAGGCCCTTCCCAGGAATTCCCGGATCCGGATGGGGCGGGGGAAGCTTTTCCAGCAAAATCCACCTTTTTTTGTTGTTTTTGGGTTTTGTTTGGTTTTCCTGGATTTTTTTTCCCGTTTGGGAACGCTCCTGGTGTGTTTTGTTGGGAAAGGGGCAATTCCAGAGTCCTGGAATTCCGCAGGTCCCCAGGAAGGACACTGGGACACTCCCGAGGGAGCAGGAGGAGGAAAAAAGCTGGGAAAAAGGAGAGAAAAGAAGGAAAAGGATCCCAAAAAACCACCAGGACTGGGAAGGGATCCCTCAAATCCCAGCCAGGAGCCTTTTCCTGAAGGAAAAGTGGGAAAACTGCTCCCAAATTCCAGGCTGAGGCTTGGGGGCTTTTCCAACTTTTTTCCAGCTCCTCCTTCCCCTCGGGATCCAGGACCTTTTCCCACTTCCAATCTCCCAAAAAATCCTCTGGAAAAGCCCCTCCGGACTCCACCGCTGTTCCCAGAATTCCTGGAAGAATTCCCGGGATTCCCTCTGGATACCCCTCCCCTCCCCTGTAAAGTTGTATCATACACTAAAACCCAGGATCCCAACAACTGCTGTGCTCCCTCTGGGATTTGGGTTGGTTTTCCAAGGTTTTTTCCCTTTTTTTGTGTTTTTCGGGATGGCAGAAGCTGTTTTGGGGGTTGATTTTATTTTTTCTTTGGTTTTTTTTGGATTTTTATTCCCAGTTTTTCTGACTTTTTCCAGCAGGAATTGGGGAGTTTTCCCTCCCCTTTTCCCTGCAGGTGGATGGATGGAAAAAGAGTGGGAAAAAACTGGGAAAAATCAGGTGGAATCGGCCATTCCCAGAAATCCCCCGGGCCAGGTGTAAATACAGAGAAGAAATTAAAGTTTCTACGAGATTTAGAAGGAAAAAATTCCAAAAAAACTATGGAAAAATGGCTTTGGACCCACGGTTTTCCAGCATTTCAGTGCCTTGAGCTGGATTGGGGTGGAGGGAGGGAGGGGCTGGAATTTGGGGATGTTCCCCCCTGGAATTTCGGGGTTGGACTCCTGGAATTCCGGGAATGTTCCCCCCTGGAATTTCGGGGCTGTTCCCCAGGGGTTTGGGGATTTTGGGAATGTGCTGACGGAAAGCCGCGGGCTCGAGAGGCTCTCAGGAATTCTTTATTCTGTAGGAATCGATTCCATTAAACTCCAGTGGTTTCACCCTCTGTGCCCGGCCTCGGCTCCTCCCGGGAATTCCCGGGAAAAGCTCCCGGGAACGGGAATGGGGAGGGGGGAGGGGCTGAGGGCTCCGCTGCATCCCCGAATTTTGGTCCTGCCCCCCAAAAAAGGGGCTTGGGAAGGGCTGGGGTCCCCCCGTCCCCTCCCGGTGTCCCCAGAGCCCCCTGCCCCCTCCCCGGGGGGTTGAAAATCCAAATTTTGGGGTTTTTTAATGCTGAAAATTAAAAAAAAAAAAAGAAAAAAAACTAAAAAAAAAAAAAAAAAAAAAAAAAAAAAAACCAGAAAAAAAGGGGGGGAGGACATTGAGGGGACACTGAGGGGACACAAAGGGGGGACACTGGGGGAGAGGGACGTGAGGGGACACAGGGACACGGGGGGACATTGGGGACACTCCGAGTGTCCCCAGCAGGCCAGGCCTGGGGAAGGGCGAGGGGAAATTCCGGGAAATTTTCCTTCCCTGGGAAGCTCTGGATCCTCCCTGATTTGGGATTTGGGATCGGGACCAGGCCCCCAAACCCCCCCCCACCCCCGTGTCCGACATTCCAGCCCCGAATTCCCGGCTGGAATTACCCGGGAAAGGAGGGGGGGGAGTCCCAGCCCCGAATTCCTGGAATGGCAGAAATCCCACCTGGAACTCCCCACCTGGAATTCCCCCTGGAAATTCCACCTGGGAATCCCACCTGGAATCCCCCCCAGCCATCCCTGGGTGTCCCAGCAAGGGAAGGACCCCACAGGGCCGGGAATTCCGGGAATTCCGGGAATTTTGGGATTCCTTCCCCCTTCCCATCCCGCACATTCCATGGGACTGGGGGCGAATTCCACGGAATTCCAGGCGGAGGAAAGGGGGAGCTCCCCCCACGCTCCGCTCCTTTCCCCCCCTTTTCCCAGCTTTTCCATGGAATTCCGTCCCATCTCTCAGCAGAGTCCAGGAGCAGCCAAACCTCGGCCCCGAATCCGCCCCAGCTCCTCGGGAGGGAACACAACGGGAAGTTTGGAATTCTCCCGTTTCTTCCTGGGGCGGGGGGGAAATTTTTCTTTTTTCCTTTTTTTTTCCCCCCGGGAATTTTTTTTCCAGGTTTTTCCCCCCGGGGGGCCGGCGGGTTTCACATGATGCCGTTGGTGAGGTACTGGAAGCCGTCGTAGAGCTTGGTGGTGATGGAGCGCATGGAGCCGTCCACCATCTGCTCCACCAGCAGCTGCAGCTGCTCCTCCGTCAGGTTCATGTGGAAACGCTCCTTGAGGTGCCGGATGGTGGAGGAGCCGTGGAAGCACGGCAGCTGGGAGCCTGGGGAAAATGGGGAAAAATGGGGAAAAACGGCAGCTGGGAGCCTGGGAAATGGGGAAAATGGGAAAAATGGGGAAAACGGCAGCTGGGAGAATGGGAAATGGGAAAAAATGGGGAAAAACGGCAGCTGGGAGCCTGGGAAATGGGAAAAATGGGAAAAAGGAAAAACAGCAGCTGGGAGCCTGGAAAAACAGGAAAAATGGGAAAAAATGGGGAAAAACGGCAGCTGGGAGCCTGGGAAATGGGGAAAAATGGGGAAAACGGCAGCTGCAAGCCTGGAAAAATGGGAACAATGGGAAAAAAAGGGAAAAACAGCAGCTGGGAGCCTGGAAAAATGGGAAAAATGGGGGAAAATGGCAATGGGAGAATGGGAAAATGGATAAAATGGGGAAAATTTGGGATGGGAATCAGGGGTAGGGCAGCAGGGAGCTGGGAAAAATGGGAAACAGAGCAGCTGGGAGCTGGGAAAAATTGGGATGGGAATGTTGGGAATCTGGGTTTGGAATGGGGGCAATGGGATCAGGGAGCTGCGAGCCTAGGAAAGGGGAAATTTGGGATGGGATGAGGGATTTGGGATCCTGGGAAATGGAAGCCCGGGATGGGGTGAGGGTTGGAAGGGGGAATGCTTTGGGAGAAGCAGGTTTGGCACGGGAATTCCGGGGATCCCAGGGTCCCCACCTTGCTGCATGATCTCCACGATCTGCACCACCCTGTCCATGTGCTTGCGGGCGGCGATCAGCCCCTGCAGCATCAGCATCTTGTAGTAGTTGAACATGTCCCCGTCCAGGCCGCCCATCACCTGCGGGAACAGCGGGAACGGGCTGGGAATGGGCTGGGAATGGGGCTGGGAATGGCCTGGAATGGGGAATGGGGCTGGGAATGGGGCTGAGAATGGCCTGGAACCCTCCAGAACCCCCTGGGAATGGCCTGGGAACGCCCTGGAACCCCCGGGACCCCCCAGGAATCCCCTGGAATTCCCCTGAACCCCCCTGGGAACCCCCCAGCCCCCCCGGCCCCACGCACGTCCACGAACTCTGCGGTGAGTTTGAAGGCCGAGGTCTCGAAGCCGAGGTTCCGCGGTGAGCTGGACAGGATGAAGCCGAAGTCGATGTGGATGATGTGGCCTTCGGCGTCCAGCAGGATGTTCCCGTTGTGCCTGCGGGAATGCCAGGGGATCACGGGGAATTCCCGGGAATCCCAGTGGAATTTAAAAAAAAAATCCCATAAAATTCACATTAAATTGTGCTAAAATCCCTAAAATGCCAGTAAAGGTCTTCGGCGTCCAGCAGGATGTTCCTGTTGTGCCTGCGGGAATGCCAGGGAATTCTGTGGGATCCTGAAGGAATTCCCTGGAATTCCCGGAAATCCCAGTGAAACTGAAAACAAAAATCCAATAAAAGTCACATTAAGTTGTGCTAAAATCCCTAAAATCCCTAAAATGCTCTCAGGTGCAGCAGGATGTTGCCGTTTTGCCCTGGACATTAAGTTGTGCTAAAATCCCTAAAATCCCTCAAATGCCCTCAAATGCTCTCAGGTGCAGCAGGATGTTGCAGTTTTGCCCTGGAGAGAATTAAAAAAAAAAAAAAAAAAAAAAAAAAAAAATTAAAAAAAAAAAGTTAAAAAAACCCTGGAAAAATATTGAAAAAAATTCCCAAATTCCCCCAAACCCTGGGATTTACCAAAAAAAAAAAAAAAAAAAAAAAAAATTCAAAAAAAAAGTTGAAAAAAACCCTGGAAAAATATTGAAAAAAATTCCCAAATTCCCCCAAACCCTGGGATTTACCTGACCTTACCTGCAGCAGGTAGCAGACCAGGCAGTACCCAATAATTAATTAATAATTAATTAACTCATTAATTACCTGTCCTTGACCTGCAGCAGGTAGCAGACCAGGCAGTGCCCCTCAGACCCCATTAACTCATTAATTAGTTCATTAATTAACCGTTAATTACCTGTCCTTGACCTGCAGCAGGTAGCAGACCAGGCAATAGCCATCAGACCCCATTAACTCATTAAGTAGTTCATTAATTAAGGGGTTAATTACCTGTCCTTGACCTGCAGCAGGTAGCAGACCAGGCAGTGCCCATCAGACCCCATTAACTCATTAATTAGTTCATTAATTAACCGTTAATTACCTGTCCTTGACCTGCAGCAGGTAGCAGACCAGGCAGTGCCCCTCAGACCCCATTAACTCATTAATTAGTTCATTAATTAACCGTTAATTACCTGTCCTTGACCTGCAGCAGGTAGCAGACCAGGCAATAGCCATCAGACCCCATTAACTCATTAAGTAGTTCTTTAATTAAGGGGTTAATTACCTGTCCTTGACCTGCAGCAGGTAGCAGACCAGGCAGTGCCCCTCAGACCCCATTAACTCATTAATTAGTTCATTAATTAACCGTTAATTACCTGTCCTTGACCTGCAGCAGGTAGCAGACCAGGCAATAGCCATCAGACCCCATTAACTCATTAAGTAGTTCATTAATTAAGGGGTTAATTACCTGTCCTTGACCTGCAGCAGGTAGCAGACCAGGCAATAGCCATCAGACCCCATTAACTCATTAAGTAGTTCATTAATTAAGGGGTTAATTACCTGTCCTTGACCTGCAGCAGGTAGCAGACCAGGCAGTGCCCATCAGACGCCATTCATTCATTAACTAATTCATTAATTAACCGTTAATTACCTGTCCTTGACCTGCAGCAGGTAGCAGACCAGGCAGTAGCCGGCGCAGCTGCGCACGAAGTTGCGCTGGGCGCTGAGGAAGCTCTCGCTGTTGTGGCTGCCGTGCTCCTGCAGGAAATAATCCAGCAGCGACAGCTGCGACTGCTTCTTGATCTGGTGCAGGGACACGGCGCTGAGCACGGGCTCGATCATCCCGCTGTCCGCAGAGATCACCAGGATCTTGTAGGGCCGGATCCAGAGCGGCACGCGCTCCTGCTCCCAGATGGACTGCGGGAGAGAGGGGGGTAAATCCTGGGGGATCCCAGGAATCCCGACTGGAATGGGGCCAGACAGGAGGGAATGGGATAAATCAGGATCTTGTAGGGCCGGATCCAGAGCGGCACGCGCTCCTGCTCCCAGATGGACTGCGGGAGAGAGGGGGGTAAATCCTGGGGGATCCCAGGAATCCCGACTGGAATGGGGCCAGACAGGAGGGAATGGGATAAATCCTGGTGAAATCCCATAAAATCTGGCTGCAGCAGGGTTAAGATTATGTGAAAATGAATAAAATCCCGTTAAAACCCCAGGAAATCTGACTGAAATGGGTTTACAATTATGTGAAATTCTAAAAAACCCCGGTACCATCCCATAAAAGCAGAAAAAAATCCATTTAAAAAAAATCCCATTGAAATCCCAAAATATTTTAAAAATTTCCACTAAAATCCCAGGAAATGCCATTAAAATCCCATAAAATGCCATTAAAACCCCATGAACACCAGGAATCCCACATGGATGGGGTTTTTTTGGCAATTCCTAGGGAATTCTCCAGGAGCTGCCTCACCTGGAGCCGTTTGAGCACCTGCAATCCCGTGAGAACTCCATAAAATCCCACAAAAACCCCCTAAAACCCCGGGGATTTTTTCGGGAATGACAGGAACCTCTCCAGGACTGGGGATTTTCGGGAATTCCCCGGGAGTGCCTCACCTGGAGCTGTTTGAGCACCTGGAATGCCAGCAGCTCCTGCCGGAGGTCGTCGCCGCACTTGACGATGACGGAGAGGAGGCGCCAGGAGGGGAGGTGCCCGTAGGGAGAGGCCTCCCGGATCCTCCTGAGGGAAAACCAGGAAAAACGGGATCAAACCCGGAGCCTCGGGTGGGGAGAAGCTCTGGGAATTCCTGGGAATTGTCTTTATGCCACCCAATCCCATTAAAATCCCATTAAAACTATCAAATCCCGTTAAAATCCCATAAAATGCCAACAAAATCTCATAAAGTTTCATGAAATTCCATTAAAATCCCAACAAAAACCCATAAAATGCCAATAAAATATCATAAAATTTCATGGAATTCCATTAAAATCCCACCAAAATCCCATTAGAACTATGAAATCCCATCAAAATCCCATTAAATGCCAATAAAATCCCATCAAACCCCATCGACATTCCATCAAATCCCATAAACCCCCACAAAATCCCATAAAATGCCATTAAAATCTCATAAAAGTGCACGAAATCCCATTAAGATCCCATTAAAACCATCAAATCCCATTAAAATCCCATCAGGACACAGACCACATCCCCCAAACTCCTCATTCCCAGGGGCTTTTCCTGCTTTTCCCGGGAGGAATTCCAGGCTCGGAATCCCAACGGGTTCATCCCGGACAAACCCAAACCCCAGACTCGCGGGAATTCGGGCACGCCCCGGGGCCGGGCAGGCCCGCGGGCAATTCCCAGCTTTTCCCCGGCATTCCCGGGAATCCCCCGTGCCCACCTGACTTTCTCCTGCCAGGGCTCCTTGAGGGCCACGGCCGAGGGGTCCTCGGGGTCGCGGCGGAACGCCGTGGGCGTGTGGGCCAGCTGCTCCGACAGCCGCCGCCTGCCGGGGGAAATTCCACGTTTTCCATGGAAAACTGCGGATCCGCAGCGCCAGGGAACGCCCGGAGCTTTGCTTTGGGAATGTGGGAATTCTGGGGTTCTACCAGCGAAAAGTTCTGGGTGTTTGCTCAGGGGAATGTTGGAATTCTGGGGTTTTATGAGGGAAAATTCCTGGATTTTTGCTTTGGGGAATGTCAGAATTCCAGGGGTTTTATGAGCGAAAACTCCTGGATGTTTTCCCTGGGGAATGTCGGAATTCCGGGTCTTTTTGAGGGAGAATTCCTGGTTCTCCCGGAGCTCACCGGATGTCTCCGGCGGCGATGAAGACGGGCTCCCTGCTCTCCTGGCTGGTGATGGAATCCACGGAAAACTGGGAGATGTTGTCACAGCTGTTGGTGTGCATCTCTGGGAGCTGCAGGAATTCCAGGGAAACCCCATGAAATCCCTTAAAATTCCACCAAAATCCCATAAAATCCCTTAAAATCCCACAAAATGCCATTAAAATCCCATCAAATCCAATTAAAATCCCATCAAATCCCATTTTTAGTCAGCATTCCCACTTCCCTGGGGACACCTTGGGGACACCCTGGTGCCATCACGGTGGCCAGAACCTTCTGGAAAAGCCCATTCCCAGCATTCCCACCACCCTGGTGCCAGAACCTTCTGGAAAAGCCCATTGCCAGCGCTCCCACCTCCACCTGGAGCTCCACGATGTCGTCCACGGACCAGGCCTCGTCGTCGTTGTCGTAGTTGGGGACGGTGCTGAAGCTGCCGGCCCGCTGCTCCGGGCCCATCCCGCATTCCGGAAGGTTCTCGGCCGAGCGCGTGCTGCGGATCCGGTTCTCCGGGATGCGCGCGGGGACATTCGCCGTGTCGAAATTGTCACATTCCAGCACTTCCACGTAGATTAAGTAGGGAGCCTGGGGACAGCGGGAATGGGGGTGAGGGGTAACCCCGGATGCTCCCAGGGCCGAGATCTGGGGGGAATCCGTGGGTTTGGAGGGTTTGGAGGAAAAGGGCGCAGACTCCAGAGGGGAGCTGGAGGCTCCCAGGGGGTTTGGGCCCAACTCCAGCTGTCCCAGCACTCCCAGTCCTGGAAGTGACACCTCCAGCTCTCCCACCATTCCCACGCCATCCCAAATCCCATCTCACATCCCAAATCCCATCTTCCATCCCAAATCCCCTTTCCCACCCCAAATCCCAAACTTTCACATCCCAAATCCCCTTTCCCAGACCTTGTCCTTGGAGTTGAGCACCACGGCCTGTGAGTGCGGCACGCGCACCACGTGGTGCTCGAACCCACCACACCCAGCTCTCCCGCCACTCCCAATCCCCATCCCAAATCCCAAATCCCAAATCCCAAACCCCAAATCCCAAATCCCAAATCCCAAATCCCCAATCCCCAATCCCCAAACCCAAACCCCAAACCCCAGACCTTGTCCTTGGAGTTGAGCACCACGGCCTGCGAGTGCGGCACGCGCACCACGTGGTGCGGGAAGGCGGCCGTGGGCAGCCAGGCGCGCGCGGGCAGTTTGTGGTTGAGCAGCGACAGCTCCGAGATCAGGCGCTGCGTCTTCTGCTCCTTGGTGGGCAGCGTGGCCAGGCGCTTCCCGATGGCCATCAGAGACTTGATGAACTCCCGCTCCGGGGCCAGCCGCGCCGGCTGCGGGGGGAAGGGAAGGGGGAAGAGAGGGGAGGGAAAGGGAAAGGGGAGAGGGAAAGGGAAAGGGAAAGGGGAAAGGGAAAGGGAAAGGGAAAGGGGAAAAGGGAAAGGGAAAGGGAAAGGGGAAAAGGGGAAAGGGGAAAGGGAAAGGGAAAGGGAAAGGGGAAAAAGGGAAAGGGAAAGGGAAAGGGAAAGGGAAAGGGAAAGGGAAAGGGAAAGGGAAAGGGAAAGGGGAAAGGGGAAAGGGGAAAGGGGAAAAGGGAAAGGGAAAAGGGGAAAGGGGAAAAGGGAGGGAAAGGGAGAAAAGGAAGGAAAAAGGATGGAAAGAAAGGGAAAGGAAGGTAAAGGGAGAATAGGGAGAAAAAGGGAGGAAAAAGGAGGGAAAGAAAGGGAAAGGGAAAAGGGAGGGAAAGAGGGAAAACAGAAAAAAAGGGAGAAAAGGGTGAAAAGGGAGAAAAAGGGAAAAGGGAAAAGGGAAAAGGGAAAAGGGAGGGAAAAGGGAGGGAAAGGGGGAAAGGGGAGGGAAAGGGGGAAAAGGGAGGGAAAGGGGGAAAAGGGAGGTGATGTCACCTTCTCTGCAAGGAAACGCCTTCATCCCATCCCCTTCCCCGGGATCTTCCCACCCCTCACTTTTCCCTGCTCTTCCCATCCCGGACTGCCTGGGAAAGGCTTGGGAAGGATTGGGATGAAAAATAAAAAGTTGGGGCAAAAAGGAGGAAAATGGAGGTGATGGCTGGCGGTGGTTTTCCAGTGGGATCCACTTCCTGCTCTTCCCTCTTCCCTGCCCTTCCCTTCTCCTGCTTTTCCCTCTTCCCTGCCCTTCCCTTCCCTCTTCCCGCTCCGGAGCCAGCCAGGGATAAAAATAAAAACTTTGGGGAAAAAGGAGGAAAATGGAGGTGATATTGGTGATTTTTCACCGGGACCAAATTCCTGCCCTTCCCTCTTCCCACCCTTCTCTTTTCCCTGCCCCTCCCTCTTCCCAGATCCTGGAAATTTGGGAGTCCCATCCATCCATCCCCCAGCAGAGCAGGATCCTGGGGCCTTTTCCTTCCCCTGGAATTCCAGAGCCGACGTTCCCAGCGAGATCTCCCAGTCCCGTTGGATTCCTGGGATTTGGGATCATCTGGATTCCCAGGATTTGGAATGATCCAGATTCCCAGGATTTGGGATCATCCGGATTCCCAGGATTTGGGATCATCCAGATTCCCGGGATTTGGGATCATCCGGATTCCCAGGACTTGGAAGGATCTGGATTCCCAGGATTCATGAAAATCTGGATTCCCGGCGTTTGGGAGGATCCTCCCCCAGCCCGTCCCTGGTGTCCCAGCCCAACAATCCCTCAGGGATTTGGGATTTCCCTGGGATGCAGGATCCCAAATTCCCCCGCACGGATCCCCAATTCCCAGTGCACGTCCCCGAGCTCGGGAATGACCAAGGGCTGATTCTGGGATCCCCGAGCACTCCGATCATGCTGCGAACGGCGCATGCAGAAAGCCACGGACCGGGAAGAGGGAAGCAACGGAAAACGCCGGAAAAATCGGGAATGTCGCAGAGCAAGAGGAAAGGAGCGGGGGAAATCAGGGAGAGAAGGGCGGGGAAGGGAATTCCCGGCTGGGAATCCACTGCACTTGTAGTCCACGTCCAAAAATTCCCTCAGGAATTCCGGGATAACGCTGCCCTGCCCCCACCCGGCTCCAGGCACGGGAGAAATATTCCAGAGGTTCCCGATCCCGGCCAGATCCCAAAAATTCCTTCAGCTCTCCAAGGACTGAATCCCATTCCTGCAAAATCCGGGATGCCCCACGGATGCTTCCCGGCTTTTCCCAAGGAATTCCGGTGGCTCTGCTATTCCTGCTCCTCCCATCCAGGTTTTCCACGGCTGTTGTTCCCTGGGAATACCAGGAAATGCTTCCCGAGGAATCTGGGACCAATCCAGGACCCCTCTGGATCAGCCCCACCTCGATCCAGGGCAGTTCCTGGATTTTCCAGGGATCCCAAAACGCTTCCCAAGGATCTTCTCCCAACCTCAGGAATATTCCAGCGGTGCCAGGATCCGTTCAGAGCCTCTGGAATTCCGGTGGGAACCTTGGAGATCTTGGATCTTCCACCCACAGGGAAATTCCATCCCATTCCAGAGGGAAAATTCCTCTTCATCCCATTCCAAAGGGAAATTCCAGAGGGAATCTTCCTCTTCTTCACCCCATTCCAGAGAGGAATTCTCCTCTTCTTCCCATTCCAAAGGGAAATTCCAGAGGGAATTTTCCTCTTCATCCCATTCCTCATCCCAGCATTCCCAAGGGTCCTTCCCACTCCAGCAGAACATTCCATGGGGAAGGAGCAACTATCCCTGTTTTCCGTCGACTCCCAAAAAATCCTGGAGAGGAGTCGTTGGCTGGGCTGGGAGGAGCAGGAATGGGTGGAAATCAAGGAATTCCTGGAATTTTGGGTGGGAATTTGGGGCTTGGAGCTCCTCCCAGCCATCCCATTATCCCTAAACACAGAGGGATTTAGGATGAGCCCAAAATTTGGGATCAAATCCCGACAAAATTCCCAAATCCAGGTGTGGGAGTGATCCCTGGGAATTCCCAGCAGGATCAGAGCTGGGTTGGAATCCAGAAATTCCCAGAAAAGCCTAAAAAAATCAGGGAATTCTTCCCAAACTCCCCGTGCTGGAGGAAATCATGGACTACACATTCCCACCGGGAATCCTGGTGGGAAATGAGGGAAAGATTCAAAAAAAACAATGGAAAAAATGGGAAAAGGGTTCATTCGGGAGAGAAAAATCAGGGAAAACACCAGGATTCGATTGGAATTTTCATGGAAAAAAAAGAAGGAATTGAAAGAATGGAATCAAGGAATGATTGGCAGGAAAAAAAAACATGGAAAAAAAGCAAATTAATTCCATCCGGCCGAGAATTTTGGGAGCCAAATTCCAAGGGAAAACAGCATTTCCTCTTCCACCTGCAACAGAAAAGCAGGAAAAGCGGGAATTCCCTCATTCCCAGGTGGATTTTGGTGGAAAAAATGGGATTTTCCTGGATTTTATCCGACTGGAAGGAATTTTCCTGGAATTCCCATTACGAGGAAACACCGCGGTGGCAATGCCGGGATTTTTTGGGTTTTTGGGTTTTTTTTGGGAATATCTGGGGAATGCTGGGAAATTCCAGAGGTGTGGAATTGAGGAAATGCTGCGGCGGGGAGAGGGAGCCTCCGGAAAAGGGGATCGGAACTTACGGGAGCCAGGGATTTATCCAGGCTTTCCGTACTCGAGGAGAATTCCTGGGAAAAGCGGGACAAGGGGGATTTGGGGCAGTTTTTTGGGGGAATTTTTTCCATGGGGAAGAGGGGAAGGAGCAGGGAAAAGGGGGAGAAAAAGCAAAGTTTAGCTCCAGGTGCACTTCCAGCAATTCCCAAGGTTTTTTTTGGTCCCATCCTCTTGGAATTACCAGAAAAATTCCGGGAAGGAAAATTCTACGGATCCCAAGCGGGATGGGATCAAAGCGGAGCAGATCCGAGCGCTGAATTCCCGGGATTTTCCCGGTTTTCCTCCTCTCTGGGATTCCTCACCCCAGCCCAGAAGGACCAGGATGGATCCAGCTCCGAATTCCTTGGATTTCTGCCCTTTTCCATCACCAAATCCAGGGTTTTCTCCTTCCCTGGATTCCAGTTTATCCCGAATTTCAGCACAACAAATGAATCCCATGGAAACGATCCCGAAAATTCCCAAAATCCAATTTTTGAGGCCCTTTTTATCACAGAGAAATTCTTGATTTATCCCAAGTTTTCCTGCCATCCCCACATGAACCTCCAAGCTCCATCCCGAGCGATCCTCATCCCAAATATCCTGAAATTCCAGCACTTGGGAGTCCATCAATTCATGTTTTTCTTCCTAAAAGGGATCCCATGGAGCTTCATCCCATAAAACCAGGAATTTTGGGGCTAAAATTCCAAAAAAATTCCCAAAAAAAGGGACAACCAGGTCTGGATCCCACCTGGAGGGAAAACTGATGGGAAATGATCCCAAAGTTCACCAGGGGAGGGAAAATTCGGGATGATTTTCCATCAATTTTCCCTTCCCTGGTGAATTTTGGGATAATTTCCCATCAATTTTCCCTGCTTTTTCCAAGGAATTCCTGGATTCCGGAGGGAAAAGCACCCAGTGCTCCCAAGAATTCTGGGATTTTTGAGGGACAGTTGGGATCCAGGGCTGGAGTCTCCCTGGTTTTGTGCTTTTCCAGCTCTTTCAGGATCGTTTCCAGGAGTTTCCTCATCCATAATTTATGGAAAAGCTCCAGTTTCCGCCTCCTCCTTTTCCATATTAAAAATTCATCCCAGTGGGAACGGCCCCGGATGTTTCCAGGGTGCTTTGATCCCGAATCCAGCCTGGAAAATTCCTCCCCAATCATTCCTTCCATCCTTATCCCAATTCCCAGAGCATGGAACAATCCTTGGCTCCTTCCAAGGATTCCCAGTGGAATTCCCAGTGGAATCAAACCTTGGATTTCTGGGAATTCCCAGTCATTGCAGACCATTCCCAGTCATTCCCAGTTTCCCTAGGGTGCATTCCACCCTCTGGAGGATTTGTGGTTCCCCGATTTGGGAAGCACCGCTCCCAAAATCTGCTTCCAGCACCAGCTCGGGGCTCCTTTCCCGTCTGGAATTCCCAGCTCATCCTGGGATCAGCCTTGGAGCACAACCCCAGTCCCAGAGGAGCTCTGGGATGAATCCCAAGGAACAACCATGGGATCTTCCCAGTTTCCTGAGCCTTGGAGCACAACCCCAGTCCCAGAGGAGCTCTGGGATGAATCCCAAGGCACTTTCACCTCTCTGGATCAGCTCTGGGATGAATCCCAAGGCAGAACCACGGCATTTTCCCAACACATCAATCCTTGGAGCTCGGTTCCAACCCCACAACGGCCTTTCCTCAGAATTCCCTCAGGAACACCCCAGACCTTACCTGTTCCTCCTCACTCTCCACCTCGGGACTCCTGGCTGAGCCCTGGAGCTCAATCCCAACCCCGGAACAGCCTTTCCCACAGAATTCCCCCAGGAACTCCCCAGACCTCACCTCCTCCTCGCTCTCCACCTTGGGGTTGCTGGCCGTGCGCTTCAGGTTGCTGCTGAGGCTGATGGACACCGTGGCGTCCGACTTGGACCTCTGGTGAGTCCGTTTGGAGGGCGAGAGGCCGGTGTCGGCCCCGGGCAGGGGGCCCAGCTCCCTCCTCCTGCCCGCCGGCTTCAGCTCGTCGGAGAGGATGAGCCTGCGGAGCTTGGTGCCGCGCGAGTGGCGCTGCGTGGAGATGTGCATGTCCGAGGAGTAGGCGCCCAGCAGCAGCGCGCACTGCAGCGAGAAGTCGACGCTCTGGCGGCAGCGGTGCACGATGTAGGGCTTGATGGCGTCGCCCACGTCCTCGTCCATGTGGATGTACATGTTGAGCAGCTGGGGCAGGTAGAAATCCACCTCCTCGTGGCGGAAGCAGAACAGGCGGTTGCCGATGTAGGCCTGCACGCCGGGCTCCTTGGAGTTGTACAGGTAGGAGATGGCCATGGAGATGTCGAAGAGCTTGGACTCGAAGAGGCGCAGCAGCCACGACTGCTTGGCTTGGTTCTGGCGCTTCCGCGCCGTCCTGGCCGCGCCGGAGCCTTCCTCCTCCTCCTCCTGGATGCGCGAGGAGCCGGGCGGGTCGTCCAGGCAGCGGACGGGGCAGCTCTCGCCGTTGGGCAGCGCCTCGGCGGCGCAGCCATGCAGCTGCTTCACCTTCTCCAGCACCTCCTGGCACGCCCTCTGGGCCACCTCGGCGTCGATGAGGGCCAGCTCGCCCACGCCCTCGGTGATGACGCCCAGCGAGGAGCCGGCCTGGGCAGCGCCCGGCTCCGCAGGGCCCTGCCCCAGCGCGGAGTCGCCCATGGTGGAGGAGAGGCTCAGAGCTGGGAACGGGAGAGAGCGGCGTCAGGACGGGAGGGCAGGGGGGACAGGTGGGGGATGAGGGTCCAGGGGAGGGGAAACGGGGAAAACCGGGATTGAATCGGGAAAAAACTGGGATTAAATCGGGACAAAATTGGGATTAAATCGGGATTAAGTTGGGAAAGAACTGCGATTAAATTGGGAAAAATTTGGGATTAAATCAGGAAAAAACTGGGATTGAATCGGGAAAAAACTGGGATTAAATCGGGACAAAACAAGGATTAAATCGGGACAAAACTGGGATTAAATTGGGAAAAAAATGGGATTAAATCAGGAAAAAATTGGGATTAAATCGGGAAAAAATTGGGATTAAGGATGGGATTCCAGAGCAGGAGCACTGGGGGGCTGCAGGACCCAGTGAGGGGGAAATGGGAAAAAACTGGGATTAAATCGTGAAAAAACTGGGATTAAATTGGGATTAAATCAGGACAAAACTGGGATTAAATCAGGAAAAAACTGGATTAAGGATGGGATTCAAGAGTAGGAGCAGTGGGGGGCCTGTACGACTCAATGATGGGGAAAATCGGGAAAAAATTGGGATCAGGGATGGGATTTGGGATGGAAATGAACAGGAGGACCAGTAGAGGGACTGCAGGACCCAATGAGGGGAAAAATGGGAAAAAATTTGGATTAAATTGGGAAAATATTGGAATTAAGGATGGGATTCAAGAGCAGGAGCAGTGGAGGGGCTGCAGGACTCAGTGATGGGGGAAAAGGGAAAAATGGGATTAGGGATAGGATTAGGGATGGGATTCAAGGGGAGAAACCCAGGATACACCTGAAGGAAAGATGGATGTTAATATTTTTCCCTGGTAATTTCAGATTTTTCCCTGTTAATTTAAGGATTTGCTTTATCCTTTTTTTTTTCCAACTCCCAAAGAAAGGAGGAAAAAAACCCTCAGGAATTCTCTCTAAATATTCCAAGTGAGTCAAACCTAGGTCACCTCCCAGATACCACTTCTCCTTTTTTTTTCCCCCTCTTCTTTTCCTCTATTTTTTTCCACTTCTTCTCCAAGAAATCCCAAATCCTGCTCAAAGTCTGAGAGTTTGGCTCCGTTCCCCCATTCCCAGCACTCCAAATCCCACATTCCTGACATTTTTGTGGCTCTTAGATCCCAAAAATTCCATCAGAGCCTGAAAAAAAATCCCTGATGCTCCCATTTCTCAACGAATCCCAAAAAACCAGGGATGGAAATTCGGGATTCCACACTTCCCCACAGTTCCCATCCCTGTTTTTTCACACATCCCAGATCTTCCTCTTCCATCCCAATCCCAAATCCTTACATGGCTCCAACCCAAAAATCCCAGGGGTCCCCTCCTTTCCCAAAAAACACTTTCAAAGCTTTTCCCTCTTCCCAGAAACACCACAGGATTCCGGAGCAATCCCACAGTGCTGGAACTCCCTCCTCCCGTGGATCACATTCCATACACAAATTTCCACTTTTTGAGGTTTTCCAAGTTTTCGTTTTTCCCAAAGGCTGGGAAATAAACTGGAAAAAGGCAGGGGGGAAAAAAAAATCAGGAATCCACCCGGATCCCAAGGGCAGCTCCTGGGCTGAGTCAAGCACGGACCCTGAACTGTGGGATCATAAATTATCCAGGAAATCTGGAGCAGGGAATTCAGGAGCAGAAATCACCCAGGAATCCCAGGAGCACAGCCCTAAAATCCCATCCAGAATTCCAAGGAAGAAATCAGGGGCTGTTTCCAGCAGATCCACGGGATCCACACCAGGACCGACTCCAAAACCCCAGAAACTCTTCCAGCACCAGGAGAAAAAAGCTGGAAAATCCCCCTTTCCACCCAGTTATTCCCTCCCGGATTCCAGGGAAGCGGAGGGAATAAGAAGGGAGGAGTTAAACGTAATTATTTCTCATTATTCAACTTCCCACCAACTCCAGCCGAAGTTTTGCAGGGACAACATTCCTGAGAGGATGAGTGACCCTCGCCAATCCGAATTTGACGCAATCCATGTAATTTCAGAGGGGATTTTGGGCAATTCCAAAGCTCCCAGAGGCACCAGATGGGCGCGGGAGGGAGGAGGGGGGGAAGGCTTGGCGAATGCTCCCGAGGAAAAGCGGCTGGAAAAGGCTCTGGAAGGGGAATTGCGCCACTTCCCCCGCGGGGAGCGGGGCTCGGGCAGCAACTCCTGCAAAAGGAAGAGGAAAACAGGGCTTGGCAGAGGTACCTGGAGCGATCCCATCCCGCGAGGCTCCGCTCGGCGAGCCCGGCCCTGCGGCCGGCGCGGGCGGCTCATCCCGGGCACCGGCGGCTGCTGCGGGGAAGGCGGAAAAACAGCCGGGAATCAGCACCGCATCCACGAACAGGCCATTTCCTGCCCGCTGCTGCGCCACGGAGCCGCACCAGGCCGAGGAAGAGGAGGAGGAGGAGAGGAGGAGGAGAGGAGGAGGAGGCGAGGCCGGACGCGGAGCGGCCGCGGAACCGCCGGGGGCAGCGGGCGGCGCGGCCGCTCGCAGCTCCCCAGGCCCGGCCCGGCGCCGCCTCACGGGGCTGAGGGGCCGCGCGCCACAGCGCCCCCTGGCGGGCCGGAGCCGCGGCAAAGGGGGCGGGGTCTGCCGACGGGGGCGTGGTTTGTGTACTAATATGGCAGTGTGGGCGTGGTTTGGATGCTAATATGGAGGATGGGGCGTGGTCTGCGTACGGAATGGAGGCGTGGCTTGCATGCCCAAGGGGCGTGGCCGAGCCACCGGATTCGGAAGAGGGCGTGGTTACTGTACATATATGGTTGTAAAGGCGTGGTCTCGTGTTGTTTGGGGGCGTGGCCTCGGTACGGAGCAAGCCCAAGGCGCCCCGCGGGTTCCGCGTTGACGAAAAGCGGCGATTTTGGGGGAAAATCGCCTCGGATGTCGCTGTCACCACCCGGGGGGGCTGGGATGGACTTTTCCCCCCCTTGTCAGTGTCCCCTCCTAGTTCTCCTGTCCTCCCCAGTGCCAACGTCCCTTTCCCAGTGTCAATGTCCCCTCCGCACTCCCAGTGTCCCCTCCCAGTGCCCGTGTCCCCTCCCAGTGCCAATGTCCCCCCGCAGTGCCCGTGTCCCCTCCCCGCTCCCAGTGTCCCCTCCCAGTGCCCGGGCTCACAGACACACAGCCACGCTGCAGGGACTGGTTTTTACTGGTGTTTTTACTGGTGTGACGCAGGGGACCCCCTCCCCGTGTGTCCCCCGTGGTGCCCAGAGCAGGACTGTCCCCGCGTGTCCCCCGGGGGGGACCCGGCCCGGCTGTGTCCCCGCTGTGCCACCCTGGTGCCCGTCCTGCCATCCCTGATGACACTGACGCGGACGGGAGTGACGGGCCTGTCCCCGAGGGTGCCACTGCCACTGCCAGGCCTGTCCCCGAGGCTGCCACCACTGCCAGGCCTGTCCCCGAGGGTGCCGCCACTGCCCCTGGACGGGCACTCCCTGACGGGGATGGTGGCACTGCCACTGGCTGGTGTGTCCATGATGGGGGGGCTGCCGGTGACGTGCCTGTCCCCAGGGGTGGCACTGCCCCTGGACGGGCACTGTCTGACAGGGAGGGTGGCACTGCCACCAGCTGGGCTGTCCCCAACAGGGACGGTGGCACTGTCCCTGCCTGGGCTGTCCCCTCCAGGGACCGTGGCACCGTCCCTGCCTGTCCAGTCCCTGTCAGGGACGGCGGCACTGTCCCTTGATGGGCACTCTCTGATGGGGACAGTGGCGCTGTCCCTGCCTGGGCTGTCCCCTCCATGGACGGTGGCACTGTCCCCAGACGGGCACTCCCTGACAGGGATGGTGGCACTGCCACAGGCCAGCGTGTCCCCGGGGGGCAGGGTGGCATGGCCGGGCACCCTGGACTCCACGATGGTGGCGGTGACCCTGGGGATGGAGTCCCCCACCAGGACGGTGGCGCTGACGAAGACGGGCGTGTCCACGATGGTGGCAGTGCCCCTGGACAGGCTGGCCCTGACGGGCACGGTGACACTGCCCAGGATCCTCCTGTCCATCACGGTGCCACTCAGAGTGACCAGCGCGTCCACGATGGCGGCAGTGCCCCGGGACGGGCAGTCCCTGCTGGGGGCGGTGGCACTGCCAGCCCCCGCGCTGTCCCCGGCCCACAGCGGGCTGTCACCGACAGGGAGGGTGGCACTGCCGGTGACAGGCGTGTCCACGATGGTGGCAGTGCTCCTGGATAGGCTGTCCCTGACGGGGACGGTGGCACTGCCGGGGACCGGCCTGTCCCCAGGAGTGCCACTGTCCCTGGAGGGACTGTCCCTGCCAGGAAGGGTGCCACTGTCAGTGACCAGCCTGTCCCCAACAGTGCCACGGTCAGTGACCAGCCTGTCCCCAATGGTGCCACTGTCAGTGACCAGCCTGTCCCCGACAGGGACAGTGCCACTGACCAGCCTCTCCCCAACAGGGACAGTGGCAGTGCCAGTGGCCAGCCTGTCCTCAATGGGGACAGTGGCAGTGTCCCTGGATGAGCTGTCCCTGATGGGGACAGTGGCACTGCCGCAGGCTGGCACGTCCCTGACCGTGCCACTGCCCCCAGCTGGGCTGTCCCTGGCAGGGACAGTGGCACTGCTCCTGCCCGGCCTGTCCCCAGTGCCAGGGGTCCTGGGTGACCTGTCCCTGATGGGGACACTGCCACTGCCAGTGACTGACCTGTCCCCACGGGTGGCACTGCCCCTGTCCCCAGGGGTGGCACTGCCCCTGCCCGGCCTGTCCCCACTGCCACTGTCTCTGAGTGACCTGTCCCTGACAGGGATACTTCCACTGCCCCTGCTCCGCCTGTCCCCGCTGCCACTGTCTCTGGGTGACCTGTCCCTGATGGGGACACTTCCACTGCCCCTGCTCAGCCTGTCCCCAGGGGTGGCACTGCTCCTCACTGCCCTGTCCCCACGGGTGGCAGTGTCCCTGCTTGGCCTGTCCCCAGGGGTGGCACTGCTCCTCACTGCCCTGTCCCCAGGGGTGGCCCTGGGTGAGCTGTCCCTAACAGCGACGGTGGCACTGCCCTTGACTGCCCTGTCCCCAGGGGTGGCCCTGGGTGAGCTGTCCCTGACAGCGACGGTGGCACTGCCAGGCAGCGGCTTGTCCCTGGCAGGGACGGTGGCACTGCCCTTGACTGACCTGTCCCCAGGGGCGCCACTGCTCCTGCCCAGCCTGTCCCCAGGGGTGGCACTGCCCCTGGCTGCACTGTCCCTGACAGGGACGATGGCATTGCCACTGACTGGCCTGTCCCCAGTGTCACTGGCCCTGGATGAGCTGTCCTTAACAGGGATGGTGGCACTGCTCCTGCCTGGCCTGTCCCCCGCGGTGGCACTGGCTCTAGCTGACCTGTCCTTATCAGGGACAGTGGCACTGCCACGACTGGAGCTGTCCCTGACAGGGACGGGGGCACTGCTCCTGCCCGGCCTGTCCCCCGTGGTGGCACTGGCTCTAGCTGACCTGTCCTTATCAGGGACAGTGGCACTGCCACGACTGGAGCTGTCCCTGACAGGGACGGGGGCACTGCTCCTGCCCGGCCTGTCCCCAGGGGTGGCACTGCTCCTCCCCGCCCTGTCCCCACTGGTGGCACTGCTCCTGCTCGGCCTGTCCCCACTGGTGGCACTGCCCCGGCCCAGCCTGTCCCCACTGCCACTGTCTCTGGGTGACCTGTCCCTGATGGGGACACTTCCACTGCCCCTGCTCAGCCTGTCCCCAGGGGTGGCACTGCTCCTCACTGCCCTGTCCCCAGGGGTGGCCCTGGGTGAGCTGTCCCTAACAGCGACGGTGGCACTGCCCTTGACTGACCTGTCCCCAGGGGCGCCACTGCTCCTGCCCAGCCTGTCCCCAGGGGTGGCACTGCCCCTGGCTGCACTGTCCCTGACAGGGACGATGGCATTGCCACTGACTGGCCTGTCCCCAGTGTCACTGGCCCTGGATGAGCTGTCCTTAACAGGGATGGTGGCACTGCTCCTGCCTGGCCTGTCCCCCGTGGTGGCACTGGCTCTAGCTGACCTGTCCTTAACAGGGACAGTGGCACTGCCACGACTGGAGCTGTCCCTGACAGGGACGGTGGCACTGCTCCTGCCCGGCCTGTCCCCAGGGGTGGCACTGCCCCGGCCCAGCCTGTCCCCACTGCCACTGTCTCTGGGTGACCTGTCCCTGATGGGGACACTGCCACTGCCCCTGCTCAGCCTGTCCCCAGGGGTGGCCCTGCCCCTGCTTGGCCTGTCCCCAGGGGTGGCACTGCTCCTCACCGCCCTGTCCCCAGTGCCACTGTCTCTGGGTGACCTGTCCCTGACAGGGACGGTGGCACTGCTCCTGCCCAGCCTGTCCCCACTGACACTGGCCCTGGGTGACCTGTCCCTGATGGGGACACTGCCACTGCCCCTGCCTGGCTTGTCCCCAGGGGTGGCACTGCCCCTGGGAGAGCTGTCCCTCCTAGGGACAGTGGCACTGCTAGAGACTGGCCTGTCCCCAGTGGTGGCACTGCCCCTGGATGGACTGGCCTTGACAGGGACAGTGGCACTGCCACCAGCTGGGCTGTCCCTGACAGGGATGGTGGCACTGCTGGGGACCGGCCTGTCCCCAGTGGTGGCACTGCCAGTGTCCAGCCTGTCTCTGATGTCACTGGCCATGGGCGAGCTGTCCCTGGCAGGGATGGTGGCACTGCCAGTGACTGGCCTGTCCTCCACGGTGGCACTGCCAGTGTCCAGACTGTCCCCAGTGGTGGCAGTGCCAGTGACCAGCCTGTCCCCAGTGGTGGCAGTGCCAGTGTCCAGCTTGTCCCCAGTGGTGGCAGTGCCAGTGTCCAGCCTGTCCCCAGTGTCACTGACCCTGGATGGGCTGTCCCTGACAGGACTGGTGGCACTGCCAGTGTCCAGCCTGTCCCCAATGTCACTGGCCATGGGTGAGCTGTCCCTGGCAGGGATGGTGGCACTGCCCTGGCATGGGCTGTCCCCAGTGGTGGCACTGCCCCTGGCCAGACTGTCCTTGACTGGTGCAGTGGCACTGCCACCAGCTGGGCTGTCCCTGGCAGGGATGGTGGCACTCCTGGTGACCGGCCTGTCCTCAGTGCCACTGGCCCTGGCTGGGATGTCCTGCCTGGGGACAGTGGCACTGCCCCGGGATGAGCTGTCCCTGGCAGGGATGGTGGCACTGCCGGTGACAGGCTTGTCCTTGACAGGGACAGTGCCACTGCCACCAGCCGGGCTGTCCCTGATGGGAACAGTGGCACTCCTGGTGACCAGCCTGTCCCCAGCAGTGCCACTGCCCCCGGATGGGCTGTCCCTGACACGGACGGTGGCACTGCCACTGACTGGCCTGTCCCCAGTGGTGGCACCGCCCCTGGATGGACTGTCCTTGACAGGGACAGTGCCACTGCCACCAGCTGGGCTGTCCCTGCTGGGAACGGTGGCACTCCTGGTGACCGGCCTGTCCCCAGCAGTGCCACTGGCCCTGGCCGAGCTGTCCCTGACAGGGATGGTGGCACTGGCCCTTGATGAGCTGTCCTGGACAGGGACAGGGACAGTGCCACCAGCTGGGCTGTCCCTGCTGGGAACGGTGGCACTCCTGGTGACCGGCCTGTCCCCAGCAGTGCCACTGGCCCTGGATGGGCTGTCCCTGACAGGGATGGTGGCACTGCTGGGGACCGGCCTGTCCCCAGTGGTGGCACTGCCAGTGTCCAGCCTGTCTCTGATGTCACTGGCCATGGGCGAGCTGTCCCTGGCAGGGATGGTGGCACTGCCAGTGACTGGCCTGTCCTCCACGGTGGCACTGCCAGTGTCCAGACTGTCCCCAGTGGTGGCAGTGCCAGTGACCAGCCTGTCCCCAGTGGTGGCAGTGCCAGTGTCCAGCCTGTCCCCAGTGGTGACAGTGCCAGTGTCCAGCTCCCTGACAGGACTGGTGGCACTGCCAGTGTCCAGCCTGTCCCCAATGTCACTGGCCATGGGTGAGCTGTCCCTGGCAGGGATGGTGGCACTGCCCTGGCATGGGCTGTCCCCAGTGGTGGCACTGCCCCTGGCCAGACTGTCCTTGACTGGTGCAGTGGCACTGCCACCAGCTGGGCTGTCCCTGGCAGGGACAGTGGCAGTGCCAGCGCCCAGCCTGTCCCCAGTGTCACTGACCCTGGATGGGCTGTCCCTGACAGGACTGGTGGCACTGCCAGTGTCCAGCCTGTCCCCAATGTCACTGGCCATGGGTGAGCTGTCCCTGGCAGGGATGGTGGCACTGCCCTGGCATGGGCTGTCCCCAGTGGTGGCACTGCCCCTGGCCAGACTGTCCTTGACTGGTGCAGTGGCACTGCCACCAGCTGGGCTGTCCCTGACAGGGATGGTGGCACTGCCAGGCACCTCTCTGTCCCCAGTGCCACTGCCCCTGGGAGAGCTATCCCTCCTAGGGACAATGGCACTGCTAGAGACCGGCCTGTCCCTGGCAGGGACGGTGGCACTGTCACTGACTGGCCTGTCCCCAGTGGTGGCACTGCCCCTGGCCAGACTGTCCTTGACTGGTGCAGTGGCACTGCCACCAGCTGGGCTGTCCCTGGCAGGGACAGTGGCAGTGCCAGCGCCTGGCCTGTCCCCAGTGGTGGCACTGCCCCGGGATGGGCTGGCCTTGACAGGGACAGGGACAGTGCCACCAGCTGGGCTGTCCCTGGCAGGGAGAGTGGCAGTGCCAGCGTCTGGCCTGTCCCCAGTGGTGGCACTGCCCCGGGATGGGCTGGCTGGGCTGTCCTCAGTGGGGGTGGTGGCAGTGCCAGTGTCCAGCCTGTCCCCAGTGTCACTGACCCTGGCTGGGCTGGCACTGCCAGCATCTGGCTTGTCGCTGAGAGGGACAATGGCACTGCCACCACCAGGAGAGCCACCACTGGGGAAACTGGCACTGCCACCGACTGAGCTGTCCCTAGGGGGGACAGTGGCACCGCCCCCAGCCGGGCTGTCCCCAAGGGGGGCGGTGGCACTGCCATTGACTGGGCTGTCACTAATGGGGACAGTGGCACTGGCCCCAGCCAGGCTGTCCCCAAGGGGGGTGGTGGCACTGACAGTGACTGGGCTGTCCCTAGGCGGGGTGGTGGCAGTGCCACTGTCCCCATTAGTGACAGCTTGGTCAATGGCAGTGCCACCACTGGGGACAGGCCGGTCCCCAGCAGTGCCACTGGCCCTGGAGGGTGGCACTGCCATTGACCAAGCTGTCACTAATGGGGACAGTGGCACTGCCACCACCAGCAGAGCCACCACCAGGGATGCTGCCACTAACTGAGCTGTCCCCAAGGGGGGTGATGGCACTGACAGTGACTGGGCTGTCCCTAGGCGGGGTGGTGGCAGTGCCATTGACTGGGCTGTTCCCAAGGGGAATGCTGGCACTGCCATTGACCAAGCTGTCACTAAGGGGCACAGTGGCACTGCCACTGACCGGGCTGTCCCCAAGGGTGGTGGTGACACTGACAGTGACTGAGCTGTCCCCAAGGGGGGTGGTGGCACTGCCATTGACTGGGCTGTCAGTAAGGGGCACAGTGGCACTGCCATTGACTGGGCTGTCCCCAAGGGGAACGCTGGCACTCACTGGCCCTGGAGGGGCTGTCCCTGACAGGGATGGTGGCACTGCTGGGGACCGGCCTGTCCCCAGTGGTGGCACTGCCAGTGTCCAGCCTGTCTCTGATGTCACTGGCCATGGGCGAGCTGTCCCTGGCAGGGATGGTGGCACTGCCAGTGACCGGCCTGTCCTTCATGGTGGCACTGCCAGTGTCCAGCTTGTCCCCAGTGGTGGCAGTGCCAGTGTCCAGCCTGTCCCCAGTGGTGACAGTGCCAGTGTCCAGCTTGTCCCCAATGTCACTGGCCATGGGTGAGCTGTCCCTGGCAGGGATGGTGGCACTGCCCTGGCATGGGCTGTCCCCAGTGGTGGCACTGCCCCTGGCCAGACTGTCCTTGACTGGTGCAGTGGCACTGCCACCAGCTGGGCTGTCCCTGGCAGGGACAGTGGCAGTGCCAGCGTCTGGCCTGTCCCCAGTGTCACTGACCCTGGCTGGGCTGTCCTCAGTGGGGGTGGTGGCAGTGCCAATGTCCAGCCTGTCCCCAGTGTCACTGACCCTGGCTGGGCTGTCCTCAGTGGGGGTGGTGGCAGTGCCAGTGTCCAGCCTGTCCCCAGTGTCACTGACCCTGGCTGGGCTGGCACTGCCAGCATCTGGCTTGTCGCTGAGAGGGACAATGGCACTGCCACCACCAGGAGAGCCACCACTGGGGAAACTGGCACTGCCACCGACTGAGCTGTCCCTAGGGGGGACAGTGGCACCGCCCCCAGCCGGGCTGTCCCCAAGGGGGGTGGTGGCACTGCCATTGACCAAGCTGTCACTAATGGGGACAGTGGCACTGCCACCACCAGCAGAGCCACCACCAGGGATGCTGCCACTAACTGAGCTGTCCCCAAGGGGGGTGATGGCACTGACAGTGACTGGGCTGTCCCTAGGGGGGGTGGTGGCACTGACAGTGACTGAGCTGTCCCCAAGGGGGGTGGTGGCACTGCCATTGACTGGGCTGTCAGTAAGGGGCACAGTGGCACTGCCATTGACTGGGCTGTCCCCAAGGGGAACGCTGGCACTGCCATTGACCAAAGTGTCACTAAGGGGCACAGTGGCACTGCCACTGACAGGGCTGTCCCCAAGTGGAACGCTGGCACTGCCACTGACCGGGCTGTCCCTACTAGCCACCGTGTCACCGTCCACCTCCATGCTGTCCCCGCCACCCTCAGCAGCATCCACGCCCCTGTCCCCGCCGGGCACGGTGGCACTGCCACCGCCGGGTGACGCCCCTGGGGGCGAATCCCCTCCCTCATCCCCCTTGGGGACCTCGCCGTCCTCGGGTGACCCCGCGCTGTCCCCGGGCCTCTTGCGGGGCCTCCCGCGCCTCCTCTTGCTGGCGGTGCCGTCCCCGGCTCCCTCCAGGGCGCGCTTGGTGGCCCGGCCGCGCTGTCCCTCGCCGTCCCCTCCGGCGCGGGCGCCGCGGGGAGGGGACACTGGGAGGGTGACACTGGAAGTGGGGAAGGGACACTGGGAATGGGGAGGGGATACTGGAAGTGGGGAGGGGACATTGGGAGTAGGGAGTGGACACTGGAAGTCTGACACTGGAAGTGAGACAGGGACACTGGGAGTGACTAGGGGACACTGGAAGTGGGGAGGGGACACTGAGAATGTGACACTGGAAGTGAGTAGGGGACATTGGGAGTGGAAATGGGACACGAGGAGCGGGGAGGGGACACTGGGAATGGGGAGGGGACACTGGGAGTGTGAGACTGGAAGTAAATAGGGGACACTGGAAGTGAGTAGGGGACACTGGGAGTGGGGAGGGGACATGGGGCGCAGTGGAAGGGCACACTGCCAAGGAGGGACCAGCCCATCCCAGCCCCCGGGTGGGTGACTCCCGGGGTGTGGCGGTCCCCGCCGTGCCCAGGGCTGACCTGAGAGCACCATGGCCATGAGCAGGTCGGCGTGGGCGGAGCGGGGGCTGATGATGTGCTGCTGCAGCAGGAACTGCGCCACCTCCACGATGTTGTTGAAGGAGCGGCGCAGGATCTTCTCGGCCCAGTCGCACGTCAGGGCACACGCGGCCTCCGTCACCTCGCTGCTGTAGGACTGCGCCAGCTCGGCCAGCTCCGCCTGCTGGGGACACGGACAGCGGGCTGGGGACACCCTCACCGGGCTGGGGACACCCTCACCGCTGTGTCACCGCTGTGTCCGCTGTGGTGTCACCGCTGTGTCACCCCTGTGTCACCACTGTGTCACCCTACACTGCGGCTGTAGGGCTCTGACTGCTGGGGACAGGGACAGGGACGGGGACAGGGACAGTGTGTGACACCCGGGACAGGAGGACGGCAGGGAGGGGACAGCAGGAGGGTCATGGAGCAGGGCAGGACACAGGGATGAGCCCATGGAACAGGATGGGACACCGTGGTGGGGACAGGAGGGGATCCATGGAGCAAAGCAGGACCTGTATCCCACCATCCCATCCCATGGATCCCATCCCATCCCATGGATCCCATCCCATCCCATCCCATCCCAATCCCATCAATCCCATCAATCCCATCCCATCCTAAGGATCCCATGGATCCCATCCCATCGAGCACTCACGGTCTCGGTCACTTTGAGGTCCAGGCTGGGCAGGGGAGGAAGGCTGACCACGGTCTTCCTCCGGATCCCGCCGTAGCAGTACGTTGGGAAGAGTCAAGGACTTTTCCCGAGCCCAAAAATCCAGGAACCAACCCCTGAAGAACCCTCAGGAATGGGAAAAACTGGGGAAAACCAGGGAAAAGAATGGGAAAAACTGGGAAAAAATGGGAAAAGAAAGGAAAAGACAGGGAAAAGAGCAGCTGGCACCACAGCTGCAGCCCGGGGAAGGATATTTGGATTGGCCACGGCCCCCCAGGCGCCGGGCTTTGATGTTGGGGAAGATCTCGCGGATGATCTTGCCGAAGTTGGCCGTGCTCAGCGGGCGGCAGCCCAGGTTGTCACAGTAGCGCCTGCGGGGAACAGCGGGCGTCACACGGGGCAAATCCCGGGACAGGGAGTGCCAGGGAATGCCAGGGAACGCCAGGGAACGCCAGGGACTGCCAGGGAGCGCCAGGGAACGCCAGGGACTGCCAGGGAATGCCAGGGAATGCCAGGGAACGCCAGGGAACGCCAGGGAATGCCAGGGAGTGCCAGGGAATGCCAGGGAGCGCCAGGGAATGCCAGGGACTGCCAGGGCAGCAGGGCCAGGGACGTGGGGCACTGGGACAGGGGTTCCCAGGGGGGTGGGGACATAGGGACAAGGGACAGCAGGACAGGGGATCCTCAAGGACACAGGAGCAGGGGACATGAAGACAGGGTGTCCCCAGGGAGGTGGGGACAGGGGACACCAGGACAGGGGGGTCCTTGGGGACACAGGGACACGGTGCCATGGGACGTGGGACAGCCCGGCTCACTTGTAGGCGTCGTAGACGTCCTGCTTGGGCAGGCAGGTGTCCGTGTGCTCCTCCAGGTGGTTGCGGATCCAGCTGCAGGCGTGCATGTGCTCGGCCGTGCCCAGCGCGCTCAGCTCCAGCGAGGAGCTGCTGCTGCCCCGGGGATCCACAGGCATGGCACGGCCGGGGGAGAGCCCGTCAGCACCTCTGTGCCAGCTCCGGCCCGGCAGATCCGCCCGGCAGCGTCCCTGTCCCAGCGCCAGCCCCGTCCTGTCCTGTCCCATCCCATGGATCCCATCCCACCCCATCCCATCCCACCCCATCCCATCCCATCCCATCCCATCCCATCCCATCCCA